TTGATTTCAGTTATAGTTATGATAAAGAAGGAAGTAATAAGTTATGGAATATTTGTGCTTAATAACTAATTAAATCTCTTGTTTTGAAATTAACATTTTTAATAAATATCAATTAAGTTGATACTAATAGATGGAAACAATTACTTGTTTTCATCATTATTATTTTGTTTATTAAACCAAGTTGTTTGGTCAAGCCAGACACATGGGTTATATTGGTAAGGACCTTCTTGTTCTCCTTGACACCAAGTTCCTGGGGCACATGGTCTGAATCCTTTGAATGTTGTTGCACATTCATAATATTGTTTATTATGAACTCCATCAATAACACAGAAAAGACCATCTTGAGTACATTGGAACTCTCCAGAACTTGACTTTTCTTCAGAACTGATACATGTATCATCTGAGCATGGTATTTCTTCAGATGATTTCTTTTCACTTGAACTCTTATCTGAACATGAATGTTCTGGGCATGAATGATCTTCAGATGATTTTCCTGTAGATGAGGTAGTTGGTTCTTCAGATGATTTTCCTGTAGATGAGGTAGTTGGTTCTTCAGATGATTTTCCAGAAGATGAGGTAGTTGGTTCTTCAGATGATTTCTTTTCACTTGAACTATTATCTGGATTTGAATGATCTTCAGATGATATACCAACTGATGGAGTGATTGGTTCTTCAGATGATTTTCCAGTTGAACTTTTATCTGAATTTGAGTGTTCTTCAGATGATTTTCCAGAAGATGAGGTAGTTGGTTCTTCAGATGATTTCTTTTCACTTGAACTATTATCTGGATTTGAATGATCTTCAGATGATATGCCAGTTGATGGGGTAGTTGGTTCTTCAGATGATTTTCCAGTTGAACTTTTATCTGAATTTGAGTGTTCTTCAGATGATTTTCCAGAAGATGAGGTAGTTGGTTCTTCAGATGATTTCTTTTCACTTGAACTATTATCTGGATTTGAATGATCTTCAGATGATATACCAACTGATGGAGTGATTGGTTCTTCAGATGATTTTCCAGTTGAACTTTTATCTGAGTATGAATGGTCTGAGTATGAATGGTCTGAGTATGAATGATCTTCAGATGATTTCTTTTCACTTGAACTCTTATCTGAATATGAGTGGTCTGAATAAGAATGATCTGAGTATGAATGATCTTCAGATGATATACCAACTGATGGAGTGATTGGTTCTTCAGATGATTTTCCAGTTGAGCTTTTATCTGGATTTGAATGATCTTCAGATGATTTTCCTGTAGATGGAGTGGTTGGTTCTTCAGATGATTTCTTTTCACTTGAACTCTTATCTGAACATGAATGGTCTGGACATGAATAATCTTCAGATGATATACCAATTGATGGGGTGGTTGGTTCTTCAGATGATTTCTTTTCACTTGAACTATGATCTGAACATGAATGGTCTGGACATGAATGGTCTGGACATGAATGGTCTGGACATGAATGGTCTGGACATGAATGGTCTGGACATGAATGGTCTGGACATGAATGATCTGGACATGAATGATCTGGGCATGAATGATCTGGGCATGAATGTTCTTCAGATGATACTCCAGTAGATGGAGTGGTTGGTTCTTCAGATGATTTCTTTTCACTTGAACTCTTATCTGAACATGAATGATCTGGGCATGAATGGTCTGAGTATGACTGATCTGATGATATTCCGGTTGAACTTTTATCTGTACATGAATGGTCTGATGATGGGCATACACTTGAACCCACTGGTTCAGATGATGATTGAGTACTTGAACTCACTGGTTCAGATGATGATTGAGTACTTGAACTCACTGGTTCAGACGATGATTGGTATGAACTTTCTGATTCAGATGATGATTGAGTACTTGAACTTTCTGATTCAGATGATGATTGAGTACTTGAACTCACTGGTTCAGATGATGATTTTGTACTTGAACTAATAGGAACTTCATCAACAACACATGGATTGAAAGTATATGGATTATTATCTGGGCCATTACAATGAGTTCCAAGAGCACAATGCCTAAATCCATTAAAATCTGGAGAACATTCATAATAATCACGATCATGGATTCCATCAATAACACAGTAGAATCCATCAGCTTTACATTCGAATTCAGATTTAAGAACATCAACTGGGAGAACATCCATTACTTCTTCTTTTACAACTTCACATGGGATTACGTTTGTGTGATGAGCATTACTAATACATTTAGTATTTCTAGGACAGGTTCTTATTCCTTCATAAAATTCATTGCACTCAAAATACTTATCATGTTTGATACCATCAAATACACAATGATATCCTTTTTTCTTACAACCAGTTGGGTACAATGCAAGAGTAAGTTCTAACAAACACAATGCTACTATAAGTTGTTTCATTTGAATGAAAAGAAGAGTTCTGAAACATCCTTTTATACTTCTAATGATAACAAAATCCCGAAAAAGAATCTAATCAAAAATTCAATCTCCTAAAAAGACACTGTGAATAATATCTCTTTAGAGATTACTCCTAATAGTCAAAATAACTTTAGCTGTATCGATTGAAAGATTTTGACAAAGTCTTAGGAGATAGATTTTCTTTTGTATTTTTGTCTTTAATAAAAAATTTTAACATAAAACTATTTTATTAAGAATCTATTTTTAAGAACTTAAAAAAAGATATTTTGAGAAAGGGATGGAAATAAAAGTAAGTACACTCACTAACGAAATAAAAGAATTTCAAAAACACCCAAATGAAGAGGTTAAATGGAGGCTCATTAAAAGAATTTCTCAACAAAAAAATCGGAATGTTTTACTTAACATTGCTGTTGGTCCATTACATAAGCAAAAAGAACTTGAAAAACAACGACTTGTGGAAGAGATTCGACACAGGTTATCAAACCCTGCTGTAAAAGGATGTGCAATAATCAATTCTGAGTGTCAAAAAACGAAAAAAAACGAACAAGATCTATATGAGATGCTGTGTGAATTAGAAGAACGAGTTGATAAAATCCAGACATCATTAAAACAAAAAGAGACAAATCTAGAACATAATAAAGTAGAATAAGACAATAAGTAGTAAACAAATAAGTGATTGACTAACCATTATTTTAAAAATGAAAAGCAATAACTCTTTTCTTTTGACTTTAAATAAAAAATAGAAAAAGAACTCGAAAACAAAGTAATTACAAGAAGAATGAGTAATGATGATTTTCTCAAAAGTATTACTAAAGATTTGAATGAATTAGAAACTATTGTTGATGGACAAGAAGAACCAACTAGTACTAATCAACAGAATAGTAACTATTCAATGGACAATATATTATCAGAGATAGACAATTTAAAGGGATTAGATTTTGAAGATGGAGAAAGTGAATTTTTTAACATCACAAAAGAAAGTTTAGCAAAGGATAGAAAGAATGAATTATCAATGAACGATCTAGTAAATGTTGGAAGTGACTTTACTATTATTCAACCAGGGGATGGTAAATTTATTGATGACTTAACTCCAACCCCACAAGACCGTTCAGAAGATATTTGTAATAATGAAAATAATAAAACCAATGATAAAAAAGAATATATCACCTCTTCATCACTAAAAACCAACACTTTAAACATTATCGATGAGTCAAAAGAAAAACAGCTAGAAACAATATGGAAATTACTAGAAGAAACTGATCAACCATTTAAGAAAGACTTTATTTATATTTCTGATATTCCTATTGAACCTCCACATCAAGAACCACAAGAAAGTGTTTTAAATAAAATTAATACAAACATTACAAATAGTTTTACTTCATTATGGAATACACTTCAATCTTGGAAGCCAATAGAAAAAGAACAATCAAAGTCTGAACAAATAATTATTGAAACAGATGAAAAAGAACAAAACCAATTAAAAACAGAGGCAATAAACGACCCATTACTAAAAGAGATACCTCCTCAAAACATTATTGAAAAAGAAACTTCTTTAAAAACAATTAGTGGAAAGAAGTTCCAACCACCAATAAAACCACATGAAATTACACCATATGAAAAAGAATTAACAGCACAAGGATACATCTACATTTTAAACATTACTCAACTCATTGAATTGGTGACTCATCCATTTAATTTTCCAGGGTTGATTCTCCATGATATTATTTTAAGATTTATCCCAGAACAAAACGAATTTTTCTTAACCAAAGGCTCTAAATCTGATTTTGATATCCTTCCTAATTCTTTCTCAAAACCAACTCTTGTTCAAGTTTTTGCTTTGTCTAAAAACTTTTATGTAGTTTATATTGCAATATATGATGAATACTATTTAACACCAAATAGTCCAATAGTTATACCTAATGCCCAAGTTAGGTATGTAACCTATTGTGAATTAAGCAAGTTGACATCCATCACAACTCAATTTGATTCAATTACATCTTATTTATCTAATGTAGATAAAAAAATGGGTGATAGTATTTTAAGTTGGGCAAAAAGTTGGTTCTAATTGAAATTTTTATTATTATATTCATTTCTGGTGAATGAAAAAGGTTGGATAAATTACTCAATAAATAAACACTCAACTTCGTTCAAGCATTAATGTCTTCTATCTCGTGATCGTTCACGAGATCTATCGTGAAGTCGTTCATGACTTCTACTACGACTTCGGTGACTTCTGTTTCTTCTATGCGAATGTCTTCTGCTATGTGAACTATGTCGTCTTCTATCTGAACTATCTCTTCTCCTACTCCTTGAACGGCTTCTTTCATGATAATTTGGTGGTTGGTAGAATAATGGAGGTACTTCTCTATAAGTAGGAATGTGATAAACACAAGGAAATTGTGTAGATGAAGGGGGTGGTATTTCTACAGGTTTGCCATAGTTATAAATATAATTTTGTGGTTCAGCATATTTTGATGTAATTATTGAAGAATTTGAAATTGGTCTCTCACTACCCCTTGTGGAATATGGATCATAAGGGGTTGAGTAAGTGCTAGTGTACTGGATAGGATTATCAGACATAACTATAAATAAATGATTTTATAGATTTAAGTTTTCTCATTTTTCTTTTTTATTTTGTTATATAAAACAGTGGTTAACTGTAATTTTATCTTTAAGTTCTTTTATAAAGTTTCTTATTTTATTTTTTATTCAGTTTCAAAGAATTTAACTTTTTTATTTACTTCAGTTTTGAATAAACTTCTTTATATTTTTCTTCTTTTTAGTATTGTTTTCATACACACTTCTTTGGTTTATATTAAATTTATATTTTATATCAATAAATCTTTTCATATTTCTAATCTCCTTAATTCCCTTTTCAATAAAAATCAGAAAAACAATTTTCATTTATCGAATTAGTTTATTATTTGTGCTTCACTTTATTTGCATTATAACAACTGTTATTTTTATACTTCTTATTCAATAACTGTCTTACTATGATGTGCTAATAACGTATTGTCAATTTGAGAAATTCTAAACAGATTACTGACTCATTGACTACAACTGTTTTAGTTCCTTTCTTAGTAGTTTTTAAATACAAAATTTGTTAGAGAAGAAAACTCCTATTACAACAATACTTAAACCATCCTTAAATCTTTTAACTCATCTTTTTCATAAAATCAACTTTATATTTAAACACTTATAAATGTTTATTACATCAGGCTTATTTAGTAGTTCAAAATTATACAATAATTAATATCAAAATAATAATTTACGGACATACCTTTATTATATCAAAAATATAACTCTTTGTTTTAATCAACTATTTTATTAAAAATATAATTTTATATCAATAGTTGGTTAATCCAAAAACTCTTCTTATCTTTTCTCTAAGAAAATTGATACCTTGTTATTTCTTTAATAATAATAAAAATTTCAATTTTTTTCTCTTATAAAGATTTATTCTTCTATTTCTTTATTCTTATATTATTCACCTAATTTGTGTTATTGATAAAAGTTCTTATTTAGTTTATTAGTATTATTTAAATAGTAATATTTTTTAATCTGTGTTATTGTAAGATGATTTGTTTCAAGTTAAATTAAGGTATTCATTATATCAATGTTTTATCTTTTGTGTTTCCTTCAATGATATACATATAAAAAACTTATATTTCTTTTTTTTGTAATAATGTTCTTAGTGTATGTAAAAGATTATAGCTATAAAGTTATGAAACATTTATTTCATAGTCAGTAAATACATTTGTAGTAATTCTATTTTAAGTAATTTGTTCTTTAGTGTTTGAGTGTAAAATGAGTAATATTTCATCAATTTATGTTTTATTAAAGAATCTTTAAATTTGTTGTTTTGAAATTTCTTTTTTAATTAAGTTGCAATTCGTATATTTTACTCCTTATAATATTTTTAATAATTTCTTTGTATCATTAATGTTCTTGTATACTGTTTTTAAATATATATAACCCATAAATTAATATTATTATAATATATACCATAATTATTATTTTGTTTGTTATTGTTTATTATTACAGAACATAATATTTATAAGAAGATAGTTTTTTTCATAAGAATTAATTTGAACTATTTGTAAAATAATAAAAATTAATTTTTTCTAATCATTAAACTAACCTTAAAGAATATTCCAAAATAATTAACAATTAAATAGGCAATAAATTCATCTTTAGTTTTCTTCAGTTATTCAATGATATTTTATACCAAAAACAATACAATAAAATCTTCCAACTATTATACCAAATTTCAGACAATTTAGTTAAAAATAAAATGAGGTAAGTGTGTCACAGTTAAGTGTATTTGAGAAAATTTTATTTTGGTTGTAATCTTTAGATATTAAAATCTTGAGTTAAGTCGAATAAGAAAAAGAACTAAAACTAAAAAGTTAAAAATCTCAGAAAAAAATATTAAAAACATGAAGAAACAAAGCATTAAAGTTACCAAAGAAACTTCAAGAATCTTATTACAAAATCAGCCAATTCTCTCTAACATTGAAAAGACACTTCAATTAGAACCCCAAAGTTTAAAGTTTGTTCAAAAACAATTTATATGTTATGAACCTGATCCAAAAAAATTAAAAGATGTAATTCCTTTACTAAAAATTGAATTAAATAAATATATTGGATTTAATGCTAAATTTCAATTAGAGGGGGAAACTACAGTACAGTCACTGCTCAGTCATTTGTTAAGCCTTAGATTTCGTTTCCCTTCAACATCTGATTTACGTTTTGTTCTTCTATCAGAAAATAAACGTCAGTGTGAATTCTATATTTACGGTTTGTTAAAAGTTTAAATACTCAATACGTATTGTGTTAAAATAAGAGACAAAAAAAAAGAAAATCAAATATTTAGTTGTTTTAGGCACAAAACCAAATTCTATAGAAAAAATTAAACATATGATTGGAAAAGAATCACCAGTTATTTTCGAAGAGTATCAACGGTTTCATCTCATTCCTTCCTTAGTTCATAAAAATTATTATCAGTTATTTAATCTCGTGGACCAATTGAATTTAACAACAATTCCTCAAGACTTTGAAGAAGGAGTCATTCCATCTGTATATGGAACTAAAGGTTATATGAAAGAATTTAAAAAACAAGTAGATAAAATAGAAGTTGCAATGGTAGAAGTAATTAAAATAAAAACAAAAACAACAATAGGGATGATAGAAAAGAATTATTTTGATGATAAATTTGATGATATGGTATCTAAAACAATGAGAACACCTCCAGGTTATTGGTGTGTTTTCACTCAAAATGGAAAAACAATGCAGTGTGAATTGCATGTGGAAAAACAATTTGCTCAACACATTTTTATTAGTCTTACTGGATTTTTTGATGGAATCAAAAAATTAAAAATTAAATCAAATCTTAATGGAGACGATGTATTGATTTATAATAAATATTTTACTACTTTCCCAGCTCCTATGAATTGTTATTTTGAAAAAGTAAAGACAGCAAAAACTAACCGTTATGATATTATTGCTATAATCACAATTAACAAAGACATCAATCCAACTGTAACAGATGACTGGGAAAAAAAAATTAATGAATACGTAGAACACATTAAGTTTAAAACTGACGATGAACAACCTCCAAAACCTCTTGGCTCTGAAAAAAGCAAAATACGAAAAAGTGTTGTTTTAGTTCAACCACCTATTTTACAAAATAAAGCCCCAATAAAAACATCTGGTTTAAAAGAAGAAAGTCAGTTATGTACTGAACAAAAGTCCCACGACCAACAACCATTAACTCAATCCCAACCTTCTGTTATACAACAAACTACTATATCAAAGCCAAAAGAAGAAACCCAACAAGACAAGAAAGAAGAACACTTTGAAATATCTACAATGGAAACTCCAAAAGTTAATTCTGATTCAAAAACCTTAGCTTCTTTATGTGAACAAGGAAATATAAATCAGTTTATTCCTCGAAGACCAGCAATGGCTAACCAAAATAGAAAACCCCCATCACGAAATTTACTTGAAAAACATAAAAAAATGAGAGTTGAGACTAATGCTAAAGATGAAAAATCATCTACTTCATATAAACTCAACAATAATGAAAAAAAAGAAACAAAAACAGTACCTAAAATACCTGTTGGAGGAGGGGCTGTTCCTGTTGTTAGCTTAGCTGATTTACAAAAGAAAACATTAAAAACAAACAAAGGAGTTCCATCAAAAAGTAAATTAAATTCATCAAAACAAGAAAATGAACTTGAAAAAGTATTAAAAGCACACCAACACAAATAACAAAATTTTTTTTAACATATTAAAAATTAGAGTTACTGATTAATTTATTATTAAAATTTTAAATATTATAAATCTTATTTCAATAATACATTCTTTCCTTTATCTCTACTAGTTAAAAAATAAATATTCTTAATTACTGAAAATCATTAAAATAATAATGAGTTATCTTAACAATTTAATTACTTTATTGACTACCTCACTTTTAATTTATTAGTAGACTTATCCTCTCTCTAGATGTCTGTACTTAAAAGTACTTTTAAAAACATTATTCTCTTTGTTAATTTCGTCCTAAATATTCAACCATTTAACAGCTGTAATAAGATAATATTATTGTTTATAAAACCTTTTATAACTCCTTAATTATTATTGTTGTTCTTATAAACATATAATGAACTGGATTATTACTAACTATTAACTATTTAACATTATAAAATATTATTGTTTATTTTCATCCCTTCAATTATTAATACTTATCTTTTATAACATCTCTATACATAAATATTACTTTTTCTTTTCTTCTATTTATTTTTTATTTAAAAGACTTCTTTTATCCATTGTTAATGCCTAATTTTTTATTGTTTTATGTACAAGGTTCTTTTTTCTATACTCAGACACTTCTGCCATACTCTTTCTTCTCCTTAGTGCCATCTTTTATTTAATCTTATTCCAATCTCAAATTCTGTCACATTATTTCTTATTATTGTTTGTTTAGTACAATAACTCTGTCAATAGCACTTTGTCGTTTTATTGAGGTGTCTTTAACTTTATTTTCTTTTTACCGTTATTCCTTTGGTATTCTTATAAAACATTTTTAATAATAAGAATAAAAAAAATAAAGAAGAATAAATAATATAATATAAACACAAAATAAAAATTCAAGTATTTGAATAAAATAAACAATATATATGTTTCATTTTCTTATTTTATTAATCGTTTCATTAATCTCTAAATCTACAATACCAATAAACAATATATATTATTACTTATTTATTTTATTATTTATATCTGCATTTAATTCTTTTTCATATTAAAATAAATACAGTAAAGCTTCATTGATACTTTATTTATTTTTATAAAGGAGTAATTTAAATACATTCACCACTGATAAGAAGAGAGTACTCAAATAATTCTTTGATTATTCAAGATAACTAAACGAACCACCATAGGCTTTTTGAAAAACTGAATAGAATAAATTAATCATAAAATTCAAACAAACAAAATTTAAATAAAGAAAATTAAAAACAAAAATAATTAATTTCTTTCTTTATACTTTGTTATAGAGATTGAATCTTTTCATAAAATAATTATATTATAATAATAAAAATAATAATAAAATATAAAAAAAAAACTCTTAACAATAAAACCTAAAAACAAACTGATAAAAATCAGTATCATTTAATGGGAAAGGTCCACGGAGGTTTAACAAGAGCTGGTAAAGTCAGAAATCAAACTAAGAAACCAGAAAAAGTAGATACTGGAAAGAAAAAATTCCCATCAGGAAGAGCTTATCTTAGATACCTTTATAGTAAAAGAATGGTTATGTTAAACGGTGATAACAAGAAGTATAAGTTTAATCCACAAAGAATTAATTAAAATGATACTTGGATAATCTGTTATTATTTTTATATTTTATTTAGTTAAAAAAAACATAATATAAAATCCTACTAGAAATGATAAAAAGTTAATTGAATTATACACCAAAATGTGTTACGCAATATTACACATTCTCTTTTCTTGTGGAACATAGGACTGAATAAATCGAGATTGGAGCACATTAATTGCTCCACTCCTTTTTCGTCTAACTAATTTCATTGCGTCAGTATTTTCCATTCCTAATTCAATTAAAGCAATTGCGACCAATGTTGGTGCCCTAAGAATAAGTGAGTCTTATACAAGGCAATGCCTATAAAAATACAGAAAAAACAAACCTTCCAATACCTGAAAGACAATGAACACCTAATGTAATGCCAAGAGGATTTTGGTCGTTAGGAAAAATGGCATGGACGATTCTCATAAAGTCTGAAATAATACGTGATGAAGGACACCCCTCATCTTGATAAACCAATTCATGAATAGCAATTTTATTATTTATTAATTTTTTTTTGTCATAAGAAGGATGACAACATCGAACAACATCAGTTACATTATATCTCTTTAGCTCTGAAATATAATTGTCAACATTGTCATCTGTCGGTGAATCAAAAATTAAGAATTTAAGTCCATTATATTCAACTAATGATGCAGGATTACTTAATTTTGATACATGAATTGTTTGAAAAGGTATTTCAGTTTGTGTGTTTCTATTTGTTTGATTGAAAGAAGATTGTTTTTCAGTCCCGGCAATAATAGACATTAATAATATCTTTTTTAAGTTTTTTAATTTTATTTTTTAATTTGAACATAATAAATGTTACATAGTTAGTGTTCTATTCATAACTCATTTTCTTTATGTTTTGGTAATCAACCAAAAAACAATCTTAAAAATTAAAATGAATACAACTTCTATTGCTGAAAAAGAAAAACAAATAGGAAACGAATTATATCAAAAAAGAAAATTTGAAGAAGCTATTCTTCATTATAATATTGCGATAGAAAATGAGCCAGAAAACCATATTTATTATTCAAATAAAAGTGCATGTTTAGTTATGATTAAAAAGTTTCAAGAGGCTTTAACGTCGATTCAAAAATGTCTTGAAATTAAACCAGATTTTACAAAAGGAATCATTAGGTTAGCCACAATTTATGAGGAATTAAAACAACCACAAGAAGCGATCAATTCTTATCAACACGTTCTTCAAATAGAACCAAATAATGAAATTGCTTTTCAGAAACTTGATGAATTACTTCGAGACGAAAAGAAAGTGGGTGAATGGTATAAAAGGGCTACAGAAATAAATAACCCTTTTGAAGAAGATAAGAATGAATTACTTACCAATATAAATGAACTCAGTGATAACAAAAATTGGGAAAGAGTCATTTGTTTAAAAGATGAAATTGAAAATGAACTTGATGCCATCAAAAAAGCAAAGGAATTATTACTCTTAGCAAAAGCAATGAAAGAACTTAAAATGGAATATAGAAGTGTATTAAAACGAAGTATTGAATTATATCCCTTTGAAGAAACTCTATCATTATTACAAAGTGCATAATTAAGTTATTTTTTCAGTTTTAGAAATTCGTAACAAAAAACTTAACTCAATAGAGAACTAAATTACCTTTAAATTTAAAAAAGTAAAATAATGGAACCAATTGAAGTACTTGCATATTCTGTTGATGAAGAAGGAAAAACAGTTGGACTAGGAACGTCATATGGGTTTGTCGTGTATGGTTTTGAAAAAAAAGACCCATACGTTAGATTTAAAAAAATTTTAGGTCATGGAATTGGATTAATTAGTGTATACAAATCAAGTAACATTGTTGCTTATGTTAGAGGTGGAAAAGATCCCTATTCTAAGTTAAATGATGTAGAAGTATGGGATGATAGAACTTCTTCAATTATATTTAAAAAAAAATTTGAATCAGATATTTGTGGTATCTCATTAAAAAAGAATTTCTTTATCATTGCATTAAAAAATGTAACTTATGTATATAGATTAAGTACTGGTTTTTGTTCTACAATCCTCACTTCACCAAATTTAGATGGAATATTTGCTTATTATGAAAAAACTGAACTTCTTCTTACTCTGAGTGAAGAATCTGGATGTATTAACATGTACTATCTTAAAAGTGGATCACCTGAAATTGAAACAATTCAGACTAATATTAAATGTTTTAAATATCCAATTAGCAATATTACTATTGACCCAAGTGGAAAATTTGCAGTTGTTTTTTGCATAAAAGCACAACACTTTCATTTTATTGATTTACAAACAAAACAAATATATTACAAAATATCTAACCAAGGTACAACAATTAAAAAACAGCCATTTATATTATTATCCCCTGCAATTCTTGTTGCAGTAACAGATAGTTGTGCTACTTTCTATGACATTCTTAAAAACAAAAAAAATAAATTTTATATGATGAAACTTGATAAAGTACCTCCAGCCCTTGCATTCCTCACAACTTGGCAACAAGGTGGACCAAAATTACATAGTTTGTTTCTTCTATTTGTCTTAATTTTTAAATTTTTTATTTATCATTTTTTTTAGTAGTTGATAAATATGGAAAGGTTAATGTCTATGAAGTACTAGTTAATCCAGATCTTGAAGTGTCAACAACCAACATTCTTACAAAAGCTTTATTATAATAATCATTTGTTTCATCTTTTCACTTTTCATAAGAACTTTTAAACATAAACATGAAACATAGATTTATAAGATTAAATCAGATAAAAAATAATTTAATTAATAAAAAATTATTATAAATAAATAAAATAAAAGTAAAAAACCCTTTCAAAACAAAAAAAGATTGAATAGTTCACGATGGCTGAAGCTGTAGCCCAACCAGTTGAAACTGTTGCACCAACTTTTGCACCAAAACTTTTCAATAAATGGAGTTATGACGTTACCGTTAGTGATATTTCACTCAAAGAACTTCTTGCAATTAATAGTAAACTTAAGTATCAAGTCTTCCTTCCACATACCGCTGGAAGATATCAAATTAAACCATTCAGAAAGATTCAATGTCCAATTGTTGAAAGATTAGTTTGTTGTATGATGCAACATGGAAAGAACTCAGGAAAGAAACTCCTTGCCATGAGAGTTGTTGAAGAGGCATTTGAAATTATTCACTTATTAACTGAAAAGAATCCAATTCAAGTATTAGTTGATGCTATTATTAATGCATCTCCAAGAGAAGATTCAACTCGTGTTGGAACAGGAGGAAATGCTAAGAGACAAGCTGTTGATGTTTCACCATTAAGAAGAATTAATCAAGCTCTTTATTTAATGACTATGGGATGCAGAAATGCTGCATTCAGAAACTCTAAAACTCTTGCTGAATGTCTTGCTGATGAAATTGTCAATGCATCTAAATCTAACACTGCTTCATTTGCCATTAAGAAGAAGGAAGATATGGAACGTGTCGCTAAATCTAACAGATAAATTTTTAAAATTAATAAATGGTTGTTGAAGAATTATTTTTTGTTATTTTTATAGTTGTTTTTAAATTTCATTTTTATTTTGTTATTTCAATTAAACTATTTTTTAAATAATTATTAATTAATCTATCTCATCATAAGATGGAAAATTATATTATTGAATATCTAATGAGAGAAGTTGATGATATAAAAGAGTTAAATCCCATTCAAACAATAAAAAGAGAACATAAAATAGCAAAAACAATGATGAAAGAAAGAAGAAAAAATAGGTTAGAATGTTGTAAAGCTGGGAATAATGGATTATTAGTTTTTGGTTATTGTACTTGTAAAGATACTGAGTTATTAGTTCTTTATAATAAAACAATAATTAAATTAAAGATTCCTATTGGACTTGGAGAATTTTCTCGGTTTGTCCAAATAAAAGAACGAGGAACTCTTACTATTGAATTAAGAAAAAAAGATATTTTGGTTGTTGGAATCCAAAAAGTTTGCTTAGAACGATATTGGGGAATATCCTTTGCTAATTGGGTTTCTAGAAGAATAGAGATTCATTTTGCTAATAGGGTACTAGAAGATTGTTGGATTTCTTTATGGTTACGGTCAATTGATAATGAGTTATTATTTATTAAGAAAAAAAGAGTAATGGTCGGTGTTAAAGTTTATTGTTTTGATGGTAAAGCTTTAAAGAAAGGGATGTACTGTCTTCGTCTTCATGTTAAACAGTCTTTTGAAACTGAATTGGTTAAAGAAATTTATATCAATTCACCATATATTTCTTCATATGATGTTGTTGTTAATAATTAATTTTTTGTGTTATATATAACCATAAAGAATTAAAAAATAAAAAAGGGTTTTTTAAATAAAAAGTTTTAAGAAAGAAAGGAAAATATTATTCAATTATGACAACAAGAGTCAATATCCCAAAAGAAAGAAATGACAAGTTAGAATGGAAACGTCTTATTGTTGTTTTAGAAAATGCTCCAATTGAACCTGTTAAAGTTGGTGCTGTTTATAAATTAGCATCAACTGATTCTCCAAATACATTAAAAGATTTACAAAAAAGAGGAAAAGATACTACAATATATCGTCCTGATATTCTTCATTATGTTTGTTATTAATTAAATAACATTTTTATTTAATATTCTAATAATGTTAGACATTATTAACATTACTTGACAGTCCATTAAATAAAGCTGGTATGTTACAAATATTTATTAGAACATATAATAACACCCTGATTGAAGTCAATCCACAACTTCGTATTCCACGAACATATAAAAGATTTGCTGGACTAATGGTTCAATTGCTTCATAAATTATCAATTCATGCAGCTGATGGACCTGATAAGTTACTTTCTGTTGTAAAAAATCCTGTCACTCAATACTTTCCACCAGGTGCTAAGGTTTTTGGATTGTCTTATGCATCAGAAAAATTAGTTAATATTAACCAAAGTGTTGCAGAAGCAGTTAAGGATGATAATTGTGCTGTTTTTGTTATTGGAGCTTTTGCTCACGGACACATTAATGTTGAATATACTGACATTACTCTATCAATTTCAAATTATCCATTATCAGCTGCTTGTGTTGCTGGTAAAGTTTGTTCTGCATTTGAGAATTTATGGGGTGTTCTTTGATTAATTTATCTCTATATTTTTTTAGTTTAATAAATGTTTTTTTTTTTGTTTTAAGAAATCAATAGATAGATTTTTTTAAATATTTTAAATTTTGTTAATCATTCTTAGATTCTAGAACACATCATCAAAACTAAAAATATATTCCAAAAATATAATAAACAACAAATAATTAAACTAAAAATTATTCCATTTTATTTATTATTAAAGCATTAATAAAAATAATAGAGTAGATACGATAATGATAGAATAAATATCGTTAGTATAAGTATAAATGAAAGAAGGAATTATTGGTTATATTTTTATTTTTAGAAGATATTATTTATTATATTTTATTTTATTTAATTTTAAATTATCTTAATTTATTTTGTTATGAAATATTATTATATCGTTTCAGTTATTACATTCTTTATTTCTTTTTACCTGTTGTAGAATGGTTCAAATAAATTCTTTAATATTTTCATTTATACTTGATAATATAATTATTTCTTCTTGATAGGAAAAGGATTATTTAAATCCCATATTATTTATACAAAATATTAAATTTATTAATAGTTTGGTAGGTCTACTAAAAAGGTTATACAAATTCTGATTAAAAATAAAAACTGGACTATTTGAAGGCATAGTATATACAACCTTTTTTCTTTAGATGAACTAATCAAAAAATAAGTGTACAGATAATCTGAATATAGTGAAGAACATAGATTAGATTTCTAAATTTAATGAAGATATAAAAACATATTAAAACCAAGTAATGAAGAGATAGAACATTATTTAATATAAATAGTGGGTTTGTAACTTAGTAGTATTGAGAAGAACTTATCCTCAAAAGCAGATTAATAAAAAGAAAATATTTTTGAATGTATTTTACTACATTATAAATTTTATTAAAATAACTAAACAATAAACAAATAAAATAAATTATTTTTTAACAACACCACAAAAATGAACACCTATCTGATTAATTACATTGACCCATGTTATTAAAAGCTCAGATAAGTAAATTTCAGAAATAATAATTAGTTTTATTTTCTTATTTATAGGTATCGTATAGGGGTTGTATTGTAAAAACAAACTGGTGTGAGATGGTTATTAATTAAAACTACCTAATGACATTATTTGGTATTGTATACAATTTATTTTTATTATGATTTTTTAGTGATGTTGAATTGTTCTAAACAATAAAAATAAAATTCTTACACAATAAGGTTTTTTTGTTTTACCACCCCTTTGCATTATTGTATTATTTTGGTTTTGTGTGTCCCAGAATTTAACATGACTTAATACCAGTCCTTAAAACAAGAAATAGGCACCAGGCATAATAAACTGATTGGAGGTGGATTGAATTAATTATCTACTCAATATACATTTCTTCTTTGGGACATTACATTTGATTAATTTGACTTCTTGCCGAATAATGTTAAAGATATATTCTTCGTTTGTTGGGATAGTAAGGTCGTTGATTTTTAATTCAGTGGTGTTTGTTAGATTTTCCATTTGTTGAAACAATACCCTGATCTAAAAAAGATTTTAGGTTTTTTCATTTTTCAATGTCTAATTGGAAAGAAGTAATTGGAACAATTCCATCTAGTTTTTGTCCACGTTGTGGTGCATATCTTATTCTTTCAGATAGTGGAGATATTGTGTGTGATGTGTGTCATTTTGTTATAAGTGCAGATCGTTTGTTATTATCTACATTTTTCCAAATAAATACACAACTGAAATGAGTAAGTTGCATTGAAAGGAGATGCTTGTTATTCTTATTGTTAAAATGGTAAAGAAAGAATTAGACATTTACATAAATTATAGAATTCAAATACAACCCAATTGAAACAACTTCTTCAATATTTGAGATGAGTAATAAAAAACGTATTGATTCAAAAATTAAAGAAATTTTACCAACAGGTGCTATTGTATATGAAAAGTGTCCTAATTGTGGAAATGAAACAATGCATTATCACTCTGCACAAGTTAGATCTGTGGATGAAGGTCAAACTGTTTATTATGAATGTCCTAATTGTGGTCATCAAGAAACTGTTAATACATAATTTGATAAAGAAAGTTTTGATTGACTGATTATTTTGTTTTTTTCGTTTTATCATTTTAATTATAATAAGATTCTATCTTATCATATTAAAACAATACTTCTTTTTCTTATTTTACTTCATTACTTCTAATGGAAACACCACCATCTATTCAAGAAACTTCTTGTCTTTATCAAGTTTGTTGAATTATATATATAAAAAATTATAACTTAATTAAAGTAGTCAGACTATGTTCCTACTTTATTAGATATTGAGTACTCTGTGTCAGGTCATATTGGTTATCCTAATAATGAGTATGATGACTGGATTCCTTTTGACAAAAATGCATTTCAACATTCAATATCATACCCATACAAACAAATCCAACCTATTCAAAAATAAAAGAAAACATTTTTAAAATTATTCAAGATACAACCATAACATATCCAAATAATATTTAATACATATTCATTTAATCAATTTCTTTAAACAATTTTGATTATTTAATTTTTAGTAGAAGTTAAACAAATAATAATTATATTTTTGTGTATTGTTCAAAAAGATAAAATTTTTAGTAGTGTTGTTTAATAACAAAAAATTAAAACATAAAGAAATTTAGTAAATTTATAATTAAAATATAAAAAAAAATAATTAATTCAGAAATTACTTTGGAAGGGTATCACCAAGAATGATCTGAGCTGGTGCTTTGTCTTGAGGTTGTTGAATAACTAATGTTGGTTGGGTATTCTTAGCAAGTTCTTCTAATTTTTCAATTTCACCATCGTCCTTTAAGTCGTTAAAGTGATGTGTATCTTCTGGACCATTAACTTCAGGGATAATAGGAGGTGGAATATTTCTAATTAATTGGAACTTAACACTCCTAAAGAACTTATGTGATTTAATTTCTTCAGCACCTTTTTTTGTACCTAAACGGCGTTCAGGGTCAGTTACAAGTAATTTTTTAATTAAATCACGAGCACTTGAAGAAACTGGATAAGTCCAATTTTTTGGGAAAAGGACTTCACCATCAAGAATTTGAGAAAAGACTTGATCTCTATTTCTTGAAAAGAATGGTGTTCTTCCATAAAGAATTTCATACATAAATATACCAAATGTCCACCAGTCAACTGACCCTGAATGGCCATAACCAACAATAACTTCAGGTGCTAAATATTCTGCAGTTCCAACAAAAGAATTTGTGATAAAAGATGGTTCTTTTTTAAATTGTTCTTTGACATTAAGAAGAGCTTGAGACATAGTAGATCCTTTAGAAGGGCCAGTCTTACTCAAATCGAAATCAGATAACATGATATGGCCATTTCCATTTAACAATACATTTTCAGGTTTTAAATCTCTATATATAATACCATTTAAATGTAAATATTCTAAGGCCAATAAAACTTCAGCCAAATAAAATTTTGCAGTTTCTTCTTGGAGACATCTGTGTGGAGTTTCTTTTAATGTATGATAAAAGTCACCTCCAGAACAATAATCCATAATGAAATAGAAACACGTTTCAGTGGCAAAAGACCAGTATAGATGAACAATAAATGGATGTCTGGTCGTTAAAAGAATTTCTCTTTCTGTTGTAACACGGTTAGTTTTGTTTCTTTCTTCCATTTGTTTTTTAATAAGTATTTTCATTGCAAAGTAATGATTTGTTCCTTTCAACTGAACAAGATATACTCGTCCAACATTTCCCATTCCAATTAATTTTACTTTTCTGAAACTATCTACAGTAACGTTTTGAGGTAAATCGGATTGACTTTGACATACTGCATCACTAGCAATTGATTGTTCTAGATTTGTTGCCATTCCTTGAGATATTAGTTCTCGATCTCATTCTTTTCATTTTGTATTTTTTTCCCTTTTTATTCTTCTCTATTTTTTTTATTTTTATTTTTTTTGATTTCATTTTTTTTATTTTATTTTTATGTTCCTATCCTTCTCTTTCTTTATCTTAGCAATTTTTATATTCATTTCTTTTAACTCTTTTAGTTTTAAGCTAATTTTCTAATTACTTTTCAATCGTTTATTGTTTTCTTTTCTTTTGATATTCAAAGGGTTAAAGTATAGTTTATTTTAATAATTAATAAATATTATTTTTTAATATTTAAATTTAGATAGAATAAGAGAGGTCTTTAGATTATTGATTCTCAATAGTTATTTCATCAAATGAATAATTAAGAAACATTTTTCAGAGTTTCATTTTATTTTTTCTTTAAAAATAAAAACGTTATGAATAACAAAAAAGATTAATAAGCAGATTCCATATCTAAACTAGATTCAGACTCTGTGTCTAGGAAGAACCTCAGTACTACAGCAGCCATTTTTGATGTTTCTGGGTCGTGGTGATTAATATAAACTTCAACACAACGTTTAGTTCCTGCTTCAACTAACTTTTCTACATAAACATTTTCACCCGTCTGTGCAAGTGAAGCACCAACACAACAAATTTTAATTAAAGAAGATAAATATAATTGTACTAATCTATCATCTCTATTATCAAAATCTGCAAAGATATAAAATAATTGATCCATTTGACAAAGGAAAAATACTTCTTGATCGTCTGCCATTACAAGAATATTAATTAACATCCATTTAATATTATTTTTTGATTCATCACTGAGAACTATATACTTTTGAATGAGCATTGGTACTATTCCATTATTTATTAAGAGTTTTTTAAACGATTCAGAAACAACAAGATTTGAAGCAATAAATGTACATTGTTTTAAAATACTATCTTTTGTTTGTGGACTTGCAATAATTGACTTAATATATGAAAAAATATCATGTTTAATAAAATGGTTGAAATAACGCTCATCTTCATAAGAATAAGCCTCGAGTATTTTAAGTATAGGTGTAATGATTAAAGTATTCTTTTTTCTTAATAATTTGAATAATAACTCAAATACATGAGAATCTACTAATAAATTAAATTGTTGTAAATTTCTTGATATTGTATATATTCCCCAACAACTGTCAGCAATTGCAGATTCACTTGACTCTTTTTCAAGTAATTGTATTGGTATTATATTACGAATAAAATCAATGTTATATTGTTTTGAAACAGAACGACATATATTACAAAAACACCACGCATAAGAATTTTGTAGTGCTACACTTGTCATTGGTTGTTGATTAATTCCTGTCATTATTTCTATAAATCCCATTTGAAATACAATTGTTGTAAGCTCTTTTGATTCAATAATTAAATTTGAAAAGAATGACAAAACCATTGAAACAATTTCCGAATTTGAATCTTTTAAATAATATCCCATAATTGTTAATATTCCTCCAGTAATTAATGGATTAAGTAATCCTTCAGATAATGCAGAAATATTAGTAAATATATGAATTGAATATTTTATTTCTGGAAATGTTAAATTAGTTTGTTGTAATAATGGACGTAGTGTCATTGTTACGTCCATAATTTTATCTACAGTGATTGTATCATTTTTCCAATTTCGAGTTAAGTAGCATAGTTCTTTCAATACTTGAATTTTAAGCTCTTGATTTTCATTTTTGATCCCTTCATTTAGTGATAAAAGTAGTTGTTCTATTGGTCGAGGTGATTTGATTGGATTATTCTCCCCAAGATCAATTACTCTCTTTTCATTTTGAAATTTCTTTCTTCGTTCTGTCCTCAATGATGAAATTTGTAACAGACGTGTTTTAACTTGTTCATCAAGGGACTTATTATCTCTTCCTGTATTCATACTATTTTCTTATTCAGTTTTTTTTTTCTCCTTTTTTCTTTCCTATTTACGCAGTTTTTTTTTTTTCCAGGTATAAGATATTTTCTTATTCTATTTTTCATTTCAATATGTTCAGATAAACTCTTTGAAAAATATCCTTTTTGCTACACAACAATATTGTCAGAAATAACGTTCATACTAATTTTTGAGTACTTTGAATGAAAGGAGTTAAATAATGACATCCATGTACTGAAATACCAATTTATTTTTATTATTATTTTCCTTTTAAATCAACTCAACTTGAATGACTTTTTTAACTACTTTTTAACGCATAGTTTTATCATACCAAAATAAATCCACAAACAAAAAAGTTGTTAAGAGTTAAACCGTTTGTGAATTAAAGTATTTCATTCTTATATTAACACTCAGTTGAACAAAAATGAATTTAAATATCTTTTTAAGTAAATGGAGACTTAATACAGTCTTATTTGTCATAACTAGAATTTACCAAATGTAGTCTATTGTATTTAACTTAAATACAATTTGGTTTCTAGCCTTTAATTTTCTTGATTATTCTCTTGTTAAATTTAAGAATTTCATAAGATTCATTAATTATAATATTCTTGTGTTTCATAAAAAAAAAAAGTAAAACTTGTTTTTATAAATGAGTAAGAAATATATTGAAAAAAAGTGTTGTGTTGATAAAAAGGACAGTCGTTATGTTTGCCCTCGTTGTTATCAAGGAGTTTGTTCTGTGAACTGCTATCAAACACACAACAATGGAAATTGTTTTAATTCGTTTAGTAGTAATGAGATTAATCAACTGATGAAATTTAAAATTAAAGATGATGAGATTCAATTATTTAAAGGTATTCTTCAAAGAGATGGCACACTAGACAAAGAGAAGTATGATACTAAAAATATTGATGATATGCTTCTAAGAAAAATTGAATCTGGTGAAATAAATGACATTGATCAATTAAAAGCAGTGTTGTCTCAAAACCAACTACAAGAATTTGAAAAAAACTTAACTAAATTATGCCAACAACAGATAGAGCAATATGTGCCATGGTATTTATCCGTTTCTTCATCAAATCTACCTAGAGAAATAATCACTAGTATTAATGTTATTAAAGTATCTCCAGTAGTGGTTCAGTGTATTGATTATTGTTGTGTTGTTTATATTGCTTTAACAAGGATGTATGTTTCTACTGAAATATTTGATGTTTATTCCTCAGAAATAGATGTTCAATTACAAGAATTACTTCCATTCCTTTATCAACGATACCCAACAACATTTCCAATGGACTGTACTTATTACGTAATTGATTGGATGAAAAAAAACGAGTATATAGAAAATACTCCTCAGATGGTTTCTCTTATTCGTGGGGATTACCAAATTATTAAAGAAGACATTCATTTACTTTCTTTACTTATTTCTCATCTCCACCAATTTTACTCACAACTTCCCCTAATATCTAAGAAGTTAGAGTTTTATTATGCGTTTATAAATTCTCAACAATATAGAAGTATTGTAATATCATATATTAATTAGATGAGAGTTTAAAGAAGAGATAAAAGTATTAAATAAAATCACAATAAATTAAAAAGAAAAAAGTAGTTATTAAATTTTTTATTTATTTTCATTTTTATAGTAAAAATATAATAAAAAAGCTAGTTATTATTGAAGTATAGTTTCTTTTTTTCATAAGAAACTTGTTAATAACTAATAAATGAAACCATCAGGACCACTTTCAGGTGATAAAGATGAACGTGCAACCATTACCTCTAAGGTGATTGTTTGTTTATTGATTTAGTAATTAAAGGAATCTGAAATTTATTTAACAGAATAATATTCGATTATTTTCAAAGTATTGTTATAATTGTGTGTTAAACAACGAAGGTGTTTATGTTTGTTTGATAACCAAAAATATTTTATATATTACTAAAACATATTAATAGTAAAATCTAATATTACAGCAACTTCATTTAATATTATCGGATATTTTATATTATGGAATTACTGATGAAAATATTATGTTTCTTATTATTGACCTTTTTCAGAATAAGTTTAGATTTGTAGAAGATAAATACAATTATGGGAGTATATTTATAATGTTAAATATACTCAGCGTAAGATTACTTAATTGTCCAGAATCATTGTTTCAAGCTGTTACTATATTAAAAGATTATTATAGAGGTTCTATTCCTTATGTATCTCTTGACCAAATGAGCTCTTCAGAAAAAGAACATTATTGTGAACGTTATTTAGATGGTTTTGGATATCAATATATAGAACAATGGATTTTGGATAATTCTAAACCAACATTTAGTTATTCTATTTCTTTATTACATCAAATATTAGATGATAGAAATCATCACTATAACATTTATACAATTATGTATACATTTATGACTCCAGAATTCTCCAAACATAAAACGTTTGTTGATCTATTTGAAGAAATTTTTTTGAGGATTAATAATAAAACCAATTTAAGTTTGTCATGAAAGTGATTACTTAAAAAATACACTCATTTTTTGTAGAATCTTTTGTCTCTTTACTTTGGAAACCGATAATAGAAACTGATATGGATAAACAATACTTCTCTTTTCAACAACTTGATTATACTAAGTTACTACTCGTAATTGCTTATAAAAAAATGAAAGAAGTCCCTTCTGTTTTAGAAAAGAAGGAATACTTTTGTTTTCAAGACATTAAAAACCTCAGAGAACAAATTAAAAAAGGAAGTAAAATCAATGACTATATTAAAAAAGAAATTTTCGATGTTGAAAGATCAACAAATTACAATACTACTAAGAAACACAATGAAAATTATCATATAGTTAATTCAGGAGTTGAGGAAATAAATCGTTATCCAAGAAGAGAAATTCATTGCTCAAGAAAAGGAAATGGTAATCATAATAGATCTCATTCTAGACTAAGTGATAGACAAACTCAATATCTAGAACGAGAATTTTATGATGGACTAGAGGAAAATAAAAGAAAAAAGTTCCCGAGAAAACAACTAACTAAAGAAATAACATTAGATGACAAGAAGTTTGCTGTTCAGATACTCAATAATGAAAGAATTATTCAAGAAAGAACTGATACATCTAAAGAAATACAAGCATCTGGGATTATTACAACAACTGATGATGATATTAAAACTCTTGATAAAAAAGAAGGAGAATTTGAGTTATTTGAAGATTCAAATTTAAGTTCAAGTAATGATGATGTTGATCAAGCACTAACTACAAAAAGTCATGTCTTTGCTTCTATTGTTTGTTTATTGTTTAACGTCAATATATTTTGTCAAAACCTTATCGATTATAGAATGTGCCACAAGAAATTAATGAGTTAGGGCTTGTTTCTTTAGCAAAAGAAATGAGTCAAGTTAAAATGTATACGTTTGATATTACAACAAGAGAACTATTGATTGAATTTATGAACAATAGAAATCTAAACTCTTTTATTTCATGCAGAGAAATGAGATTTGTTGAATGTAAAACTTTTTAATTGAATTGTTTAAACAAGAAAATAAGCTAAATTGCAGTTTTGAGCTATTGAATATAACAATAATTACTTAGAAAGGTTTTCAAAAATGATTGTTAATGGAACGTCATTTTCTTTTGAAGGTATATCACTTTCATTATTTGGAGCACCTAATTCTCTAAATGCAATATCTTCTCTATCTGTAAATGAAGTACATTTTCTTGGATCAGTTTTGTTTACTAGGATAAATTTGTTTGCTTGTTCACTATTTGTAAATGATTTTGAAAGTCGTTTTTGGTGAACTGATTCTAAGTTAAAAATGTGATGATATTGAGTAATAAGAAATTCAACAATATCATAAATTGTTGATGGTATGGACTCTGTTTTGACCCATCCAATATATAAAGCAAACGAATGTGCAATAGAATGAGGAGCATATTTTACAGGATCTACATTGTTGAGATACACAAACATTTCAAGTATTTTATCTAGCAAAAGTCTTTGTTCTGTTGGAAGCATTCTAATACTCTTTTCAACTAATTCAACATTAATTGGATTAATTGATATGAAAGAAGAAATAGGATGAAGTAATGGTGTTGGTAATGATATAAGAAATAATTTCAATATAGTCCATGCAACTGAGGCAGTCATATTTTTAATTTCATGATTATTATTAATTGAATTAATAAGTTCTTGAACTTGGTATGGAGGTAAGGTTTCAATCATATCATTTGCATGTTCTTTAATAGTGTCAATACAAACGAGTAACAATGGAGGGATTTCTTCTCCTGATAATTGACAAAGTTCTTTTAAATCAATTCCAAGAAACTTTTTTTTCTTAGCCATTATAATATAATTTTTAATTGAATTTTTCCATTCATTTCGTTCTGTTTTATCGGAAAAGAGGATAACAAAAGTTCGTTGACGGAAGTCAAGTGTTTCAATCAACAACAATGTTTTACCTCTATCTTTTGAAGGTTCATCTAAGTTATCTTGAACTTTTGTGTGTATTAATGAAATTTTTCCAATAATTTGCCCTTCATTTGATTTTCTTGTTAATGACAATAACGATTTCTTTGGACATTCATAGAAAAGAATTTGTTGATTAGTCAATGTCATATTTAATGTCTCTTCAAAACAACGTTTTGAAGTGTATGTTGGTGATGTAAATACTTGTGCCTGATTAGTATACAAGGCGATAAGAGAACGAATAATAACTTTAGTCATAGCGTTAGGTGATTCTGTTGACATATAATTTTAAATGAAAATTTTCTTTTTTTTCTAAAAATTTTATAGTTTTTTCTGTTATTTTTTTTAATTAATAAAAAAAAACTTTTGAATAGTTTATTTTTAGTATTAAAAAATACTAAAATTTCATCATAATAGTTTATATTCAATAATTCATGAAAATGACCCCATAACTTTATACAAGAACTTTAACTAAAAAAATAATACAAGAAGAGACTAACTTCAAAAAAATTAGAAATAAAATAACTCAAAAAAGACTTTTTGTTAAAACAAAATACTAAAATTATTCTTTATTTCAATTTTTAAGAAGAGTTAATACAAAGAGTTTAAATTTGTTAATATTTCTTCTTGTTGTTCATCAACTTCATCAAGTAATGAGTTAATAGATTTGAAAGAGTTTTGAATAATGTTAAGTGTTTGATCTTTTAATCCAGATTTTTCTTGTTCAAAAAGTGGGTTGTTTTTATTACTCAAATGAATTAATAAGTCATTTGTTTCTTTGAGACACCAATTAAGATATTTTAGGTTTTCAACATTTTGAATTAATGGAGTTGTTCTTATTTCTTCTCTTTTGAAATTACATTTTAGGTATTCATTGAGTTGACTTATTTTATTAATTATTCTTTCTTTACATTCATCACAATATCTCTTTTCATTTTCTAAATGATGAATCCATAAATGATAATTACGTTTTAGTTCTTGAGATATCACTTGGTCATTGTTATTAATTTCATTCTGTTTTTCTTCAATTTCTTTAAGAAGTTTCTTATCTATAACTAGTTCAGTACCTAAATTGTATTTTTCTCGTATTTTTTTCTGAATACAGTTACATTTATCTAATAAACCATCTAATACCTCTTTTTCTCTTTCAATACTTTTTAATAGTAAATCTTCCTTTGAACTATTCAAAATGTTCTTATTTGAATAACTTGAAGAAAAATACCAATCAATCTGGTGAATTTGATTAATTTCATGTTGAGCGTATTTATTTAAATCATCGTAATAATTGTCGATCCCTTTAATTAAAGAATTAATTTGTTCATATTCATTAGTTAATTGTTTGTAACATTGAACACTCATTCCTAATGTCATATCTTCGTTAATAACACCGACTATTAGTTGTTCTGATGCAACATTATAATTAATGAGGTCGATGATGTTATTACGAATTATCTCAAACTCTGGATAGGTTGATAATGCAATAACTTCTTTTTTAGTTTTAATGAAATACCATTCCTCAGATCTAATAAATAAGTCAAAAACTTTTAGCATCACAACTAATTCTTTTGTTGACTTATTACTGAGTTCATTATTGCAAACTGTATGGACACAACAAATACCTTCGTACCATAAGTGAGGGTACAGCATTTTAATTCTTCTTAATATATGTTCAGTCATGTATATTGAAACTGTATCACTCGAATTATCTATTTTATTGACATGGGGGACGAATTCATCACTCCTTGTAGATAAATTTTGTTCCTTTCTTAATCCAGTCCTTTTAAAACCAAATCCTTTTTTCATTGAGAGTCCTCAAAAAATTTTGGTTTAAATACTTATTGATTCATGAGATTGTTTAAAATGAAAGGACATTCTATTTTTTAGTTTTGAGTTAAAAAAAAATTCCTATTTTTGATTAAAAAATAGAAAAATTAAAAGAAATAAAAATCAACATGTTTCGATTGTTCATATCAAATGCACCTTTTATTTATATTGTGTTTATTTCAATATGCTATATCACGTTTTGTATTGAACAAAAGAATAGGTTATGTTTAGGTACTAGAACAAGTGATACAACAGGACTTATGGAAATACATTCAGTTGCTATGTTATCAGGTTTTCTTTTACCAATTTTATCAATCTTCAGACTAATAAAAGGGAAGCTTGTTATTGTTATTCCATTCTTTGTTGATCTTACTACTTCATACATTATTCATCGAATTGGATCTTTTATAATTTCATTTCTTAATATTTATCTTGAAGATAATACTTGTAGTAAAGATAGAGAAATATTAAATGGAGTAAATGGATATTCATATGCAATCGTTTATTTCTTTCTTATTTTTGTTAGGCTCTTAAATTCAAATGACTTATATCCTCAAGCCACTCAAGCAATAATTACTTTACAACTACAATTTCCAACATATACTCAAAATGCATATCAAATTTTTTATCAAAGCCTAGGTCCATTCTCATGTAGATATTCATGTAATTGTCAAAACTATATTCGTTATAAACAAAAATGTATTTATCATTCAACAACATACATCATATTAATGTTATATATACTTTCTGGAACTATATGTATTGGGCATATTCTAATTCATGGGTACGCAACAGTAAACCAAATTTTTTATGGATGTCTTGTTGCTTATTTAATGGTCTTTCTATTTGATTGTATATTGTATTATTTTAGACCAATGGTTAAAGCAATTGTTTTAATTTCCTTCTTTTATTTTACTATGTTTATAGTTCATACATTTATTGAAGGGGGTCCTGTTCATTATTCATTTTATCATATGATTTGTGTTGTGGATTTGATATCATCAGTGATTCTTCATATATCAGTTTATTCTCCTAAAACCATGTAAGTGACTTATTTTATTATTATTTATTTTATTATTTCCATTATAAATTTCAAAAAATATGAAAATAAAAACAGAAAAAATATAAAATTTAATTGTAATATGCAATCACCTCAACCTATTAATACAGATTTCCATATTGTTAGGATTTCTGGAAAATTAATGTACATTCCACATAATAATGTCATTTCTTCATTACAAAATATTTTAATGCAAAATTCACAATCAAAAGCACCTTCTCAGTATGGTATGAAGTCAGCTCAAATTCAAACTCTTTTTGATTCTTTTTATGCATCTACTCTTCAGTCATACTCACCAGCAATGCAAATTTATTTTTCTTATCGTTTTTTGGCATTGCACTCTCCTGAAGAGAAAAGGGTTGGAATTTTGACACTGTCAAAAAATATTTCATCATTAAATGAGGGCCACCTTAGTGATTTAGAAAGAATATTTGATAATGATATTAATGATTGGATGATTTGTGATGCATTAGCAAATAAAGTAGTTACTCAATTTCTTCGGTCACATGAGGAGTATTTTCAGAGAGTATATAAATGGAAAGACTGTGGAAAAATATGGAGAATGAGAGCGTGTTGTGTTATTTATGTAAACTTTGCAAATAAAAAAGAAAATACATGTCTTGAAATATGTTCAAATTGTGTAAAAAGTAGTGAGCGATTTGTACAACTAGGAGTTGGTTGTCTGTTAAGAGAAATGTCATTGAATTCTACAGATAAAGTTGTAAATTTTATTTATGAAAATTATCGATATTTTACAAGAGAGGGTTTAAGGTATTCGATTGATAAATTAGATGTTACTACAAGAAAAAAAATCCTTGGTATTGGAAAAGGAAGAAATCCTCTTAAATCACCAGCCCCATCTCAGTCCACTTCTCCTAATATCCCTACTTCTTCAACACCTGTCGTCTCTGTAAATACTACAACCCCAGCACAACTCCAAACGGTAGATGATCAACTACGTGCTCAAATATTATCAATGGATTACTTACATTCTGCCATTCAACCAAACATTACCACTACTATACCAGTTGTATTACCAAATGGTCAATTTAATTATGTCCACCCAAGTGCCAATGTAATGGTTCCTCCTAATTATTCCCAATATTATGATCTTCAAGGTTTTACTCAAAACAATTATTCTCCTCAATAAACTATCAATTTTGTTATAGTAATTTATTCTCTTCGTTTATCAAAAGAATAAAAAATGTTTCTTAACCAGTTTCTTATTTTCTTTCTTCAACTAAAACAATGTGATACCCAAATGGTGTTTTAAATGGTTGAGTGTATTTACCTACTGGTGCATTAAAGGCAACGTCTTGAAACGCTCCACACATTTGTCCTCGAATTACCCACCCAAGACTTCCACCTTGATTTGCCTTATCTTCGCTATACTCAGTAGCGACTTGACTAAATGGTTTTCCTTCTTCAAGTTTAGCAAGTGCCTCAAGAATTTTTGATTGTTTTTCACATAAAATATGTCTAACTTTGATTTTAGTACACCCTTTTTGTTTCTCTTCTTTGTTGTCTTTTGTGGTTTTGGCTGAAGCTTTTGCTCCTTTGGAGGGTGCTTGTTTTCCTTTTGGCATTCTTATCTTTTTTTTTTAGATTTTTTTGATTATTTTTTATTTTTATTTCTTTTTAAATCCTTTTTGGAGTAAAAACAAAAGGAAGTATTAAATCTAAAATACTTCATATTGATATATTAATTTATTGTAAACATTGTCCTAACCAATTGCATTTATTAATAATATAATGTTATGATGAAATGAAGAAGAACCATTTATTAAAAGATAATTATGTGTGTAAATCAATAAATATATATTATTTAAATATTTTAATGATTTTGATTTTAATGAATATCATAAATGTATTAATAATAATGAAATGATTATAATTTATATTAATGATTTATTGGTTATTGATATTTATTTTAATGTTAGAACAATATATATTATCAAAACATCAAAGAAAAATAATATAATAATGATATTGATATATATCAAGATAGAAACAAAGAATTAAATTATATTTACACATAAATAAATATGAAGAATTACAAAAAATTAAGACAAAAAGAGAAATAATATATGTAGAAATAATCACTATAATATTAACAATAAATTAATACATAAAGAAACAATAATAAGATTAAAAATACTAAAATCATAAATACAATATCAACAAATATTATGATTAATGACTATTAATTAGAAAAATACCATTCTAATTCACAAATTCAAGAAATAAATTATAACATAGAAATATAACATAATAAAATTATTGAAATAATCACTTCTCAATAATCATAAAATCAAAATTGTTGGTGCAGGTCTTTCAAAATTCTCTTTTTTCTTTTACATCATTTTTCAATGCAAACAACACAAGTTATATTATCATTTACTGAATAACATTCTTAGATCTTGTGAAAAAATAAACAATACATAAACATTCAAGGGGATATGGAACGGTAAATATCAATATTAATAAATTGTGTTATAAGATTGGTAAAAGAAATACAATGAAAAGTAAATAAAAAAAAAAAGAAATAAAAGAGAAAAATGTGAGTGAATATAATAGTAATAAAAATGATACCTATAAGAAACAGAGGATAATATCAAAGAATGAAATTAAACTGAAAAAAGAATATGATGCAATAAAAATAAATAAGTAATGAAATGATAATATAGAACAAGAAGTATTCAATCCAAAATAAAAAGAAAATAGAGAAAGTTAAGAAGAAATTAAATTAAAAAGATAATAAAGAATAAGAAAGAAAAAAACTAAGCAACTCACAAAATATAAATAGAAAAGAAAATGAGAAAGAAGTAGAAAAGACGAAAACACAAATAAAAAAGAATAATTTACTTTACATTCAAATAAAAAAATGATAATAATTGATGATAAACAAATTAATAAAAGTAAAAAAAAGAATGAGAAAGTTGAGATAAACGAGAAATAAGATACAATGATGATATCATTATAAGTCAATTAATAATGGTACTAGCAAGAACAAAAGTTAATAAGAAAGTTAAAGATAAATAAAATGACTAAACTCAAAAAAAATACAAAAAAATTATGAAATTGAAGAAGATAGTGGTTAGTAATACATACATAACAATAAAATGTTATAATTAGTGAATACCAATAAGAAGAAAATAGTAATAATAAAATTCAAAAAGAAGTAAATAATATAAAGTATTTTGATAAACTTGATTAAAACAAATAATTAATATTAGTTAGTTATTTTTTTATAATACAAACAACACTAACTTGTTAAAAGATATAACTATTATGAGATATCTAATAATATTACAGTAATGAATTTAATAAAAAGTATTCAAAAGTTATTTGATTTAAACTACTTAAGTAGAATAAATGATTATTATAAACATAAACTAGTAATTTAAATTAAATTTAATATAGTACGAATAATTATAATATATATAAGTATGTATTAGATAGAAGATTCATCAAAAAAGAAATTAAAAATGAAGAGCATTAGAATTATCAAAATAAAAAAAACACCATAACTAACTTAACAGATACTTATTTATAATGAAAAGTTATAAAAAAGTTTCTCCATCAATTTTAAATCTAAACCAGTACATGAACCACACAGGGTAATTCTAAAAAATTATTTGTATTATTTAACGAGACAAAAATTAAATAAATTAAGAAGTAAAGACTAATAGGAAATGGTTAGTATTAAAAATATTACAAATTATCAAATAATTGAATAAAAAAGAAAATAATAAATTCTTCAATTAATGTATTATTTAAAATATTTTGTTATTTAATAGATAAAAATATAAAATTATAATTATGTGTTTCCACGCAATGTCCTTCTGAAAAAGGACAAAAAGAAAAAGAACAGACAAACAGATTTTTTATGTCAGACATTAAATACGTTTATTTCATTCTTGGAGGTCCAGGGGCAGGAAAAGGTACTCAATGTGATAAATTAGTAGAAAAATTTCCAATAACCCATTTAAGTGCAGGTGAGTTATTGAGAGCTGAAATGGCTCGACCAGAATCACAAGATGGACAATTAATTTCTTCGTTAATTAAAGAAGGTAAAATTGTTCCATCACACATCACTGTAAAACTGTTATTAAAGGCAATTCAAGAACATCCACACAAAGTTTTCCTTATTGACGGTTTTCCTAGAAATGAAGAAAATAAAAATGTTTGGGAAGAAATGGCTGATTCTAAAGTTTTTGAAGTTGTTAAATGTATTACCATTGATGTTCAAAGAGAAACAATGAAGAAAAGAATTATGAAGAGATCTGTTGATAGTGGAAGAAGCGACGATAATGAAGTTACTGTTTTAAAAAGATTTGACACATTTGAAAAAGAGACATGCCCAATCATTGAATATTTTGGAAAAATTAATAAATTGTTAAGAGTCTCTGGCGAAGGAAGTGTTGAAGAAGTGTTCAAACCAATTAACGAAGAAATGACAAAGTTCTACACAGAAAAAAAAATTCCATTCTAATTAAAATTTTCTTTTTTCATTCTCATCATCATAATATGAAAAGTTCTTTAACTAAAGAAATGAGTGGTAATTACAATCCTTTGTATTGTCATAAATAAAAACATATTTATTTTAACTTATTCTAATTAAATCAATTTATTCATCTTTTGTAGTAGTTGTAGAATCAGTAATAAGTTGTTGATATTTTCTATTCATCTGTTTAAAAGCAAGAATAACAACGAAGAATAACCCACAAATACTCATAATAATATCAAATAAAAGAACTTGTTCATACCCTGCATCTCCATCATAAACACAATTTCCATTTTCATCTTTTTTAAATGAATCAATACACCTAAAACATTGTTCTTCCAATTTTCCTCCAAATGAACGTTCTCCACATACAGCACAATGTGCATGTTCGCATGGAATACATTTCAAACCCCCAGTAGAATTATGAATTAGTCCATACCTTGGTTCACATTCATTACATAATTCACTATTTAAACAATGATTACAATGTTCAATACAAGGGCAACATGTATATGTTATTGTCATAACGTCAAATGATTGTTCAAAAGTACCATTCCCACACATCTTTTTTTGAGTTATACATGTAGCAAAACAAATGGTAATGAGTACAAAGAAGATCATTTATAAAATTATTAGTATTGAAATAATCTTATTCAAAAAAGGTCAAAATTTTTCTAATGTTTTGTTAATAAATATCTTCATTCTCATTAAAATAAATTTTAATCATTAATAATTATTTTTGTTATACTTAAAAATTATTTTGTTATATTTATTTTAACTAAAAACAAAATAAAAATAAAAAAGAGAAAACAAGATCTATTAATAACTAAAAAGAAAGTATGGGTTTGTATATACCAATATTATTAAATAAATAATAATAACAATCATTAGAAACTTTACATAAAATCGATTCTTTACTTGCTAAATTAACTAATTCTGTACCAGAAGTAAAACCACGATTTTACTTACATCCTTCTCGTCCTTTAGAATGTTCTTATAGACAATTAGACACTTTAATTACTATTATTACTGATGAAAAACCATATTGTACGTTAAGGTGTTATAAGAGTGCTTTAGAACATAATATTACTTCTTCTTGTCTTTGTAGAGTAACTGGAGATTATTATAATATGCCATTTGAATACAGAAGAAAACAATTAAATTCTGAATCAATAACTCAATTATGTAAATCATTAATCCTTGAAAATACAGCTTTTCCAGATGATGGGGTAGAAACACCAACATTCTCAAGATTTTATTTATTAATTGTTCAGTATGTAGCACAAATGCAATCTCATAAATTATTTAAATATTTAAGAACAATTAATCCAACAGTTCCAAAGAAATACTTCCATTTTAGGGTTGCTGATGAAAGTGAAGCAATCACTATTTCTGGTTTTGAACACAACGCCATTACTCCATTTGGAATGAATAAAGAATTACCAATAGTTCTTGCTGATGATATCACTAAATTACCAGGTGATTATTGTTGGATTGGAGGTGGAGAAATTGATGTTAAATTAGGATTTAATGTTTCAGAGTTTATTGAAAAAATGAAACCAATGATCACGGATATTTATAAACGTGATGGAGAAAAAGAAGAAGTTCCAATGAACGATAATTGATATTTACTGAACTTTTTTTGTAGATTTTTGGGTTTAAATTTTTAAGAAAAAATAACAAAATACGATAGATATGGTTTAGTTATTATACATCTTTTTTATCTTTTATGAAATTTATTTATTTTATTAAAGGAAATATGATTTTCATAGAGATTACTTTTTTGTAAGAAAAATCTAATCAACAAAATAGGCGGTATGAACGACAATGATATATCTATAATGAAAAGAATGGGATTAACTGATCATGAAGTTATCGAGTTTTTAAAAGTTTGTTTCTTTCACGCTTCATTTAAAAAAAATCTTACAAGGTTAATTCTTTAGTTTAGTGCATATCACAAAATTATTGACTATGTGATTAGTCTTGAAAAAATCTCAAACTCATTCAAACTAACTGTCCCAACTCATCCACTACCACCAACCCCTACTCCTAAGGTACCATTTCGTTCTCGAAGTCTCACAGTATCTTCAGAAAGAATAAGTAATACTCAAAAAGATGAAGAAAAACGAACCATTAAAAAGAAAAAACCCTTACTTAGTTTTTCTTCAATGTTAGAAAGAAAAAGAGTTAATCCTGAAGAAACTAAAACAAGTGCTAAAGATGATTTAACTATAGCCAAAACAAAAAATGAAATAAAACATGAACGAAGGAAAACTTGTAGTGCTGTAGGATTAAATGCATTAGCACTTATTTCTAAATCAACAATTGTGATTAAAGAATGTGAGTATAAAGAGATAACAAAAATTGAATGTGCATGTAAGGCATTTATTGCACAAAAAGGATATGATTTAGAAACAATAAAATTAAGAAGAGAAGCTGTTAAAGAATTATATGAAACAGAAGTAAGTTTTTGTGATAAAATGTCATTATTGAACACTCACTTTAGAATACCAATGATGCAATTAAAAAATAATGGGTTTATTCTACAAAAACCATTTGATAATGTTTTTCTTACATTAGAAGATTTAATAATATGTAGTAAAATGTTTATAGAGAAATTAAAACCAGTTGTAGAACATTTTAATTATAATACTTGTTTAGGTAATTTAATGGAAGATTTACTATCTAACGTATGGCCGTATATTAGATTTAGCATTGATTATAACATTGCTCAAAGTGAATTAAAATTTTTAAAGACATATCCATGTGTTCAGAAGTTATTAAAAGATAAAGCAAAAGAACCTTCTTTAGATAATCAAACTATTGAAGGATTATTAATCCAACCAGTACAAAGAATCATGAGGTATCCAATACTATTGAAACAAATACTAAAACAAACTTCAAAAAGTCACCGAGATTACAAAACATTATTCGAAGCAAATGCAGATTATACTTTTTTCATTCATGAAGTAAATGAACGAGCAAAATTACGAGATAAACTTATCGAAGTCAGTCAAACTTTAAATGATATTAACTTAATTCAACCATGGAGATATTTTTTAAGAGAGAATAAAGTATCATTAAATGGAAAACATAAAATAGTTTATTTACTAAATGACATGATTTGTTGGGAGGGTGATAAAATTCTAGTTGATAATAAAATAGTATTAGAAACACCAAAAGCAACAACATTAATAGTAAAAAGAAATCATGATTATATCATTCTTAAATTTGAACAAGAAAGTGATGCAAAGGATTGGAAAACAGTGTTAGATGATATTGTGGCAAATGATAAATGGAGAACAAATAATGAAAAGAATTGGTTCTCAACTTTATGTAAATTTAAGAGTAGTTGGCTTTAAAAAATAAATAATTTACTGTGAATTTATTCTGGTTTAAATAAGATTAGTTATTAAATTATTATTAAGAAACAAAAATAGGAAAAAAAACAAAAATATTCCATTTATCACAAAAGAACCATTTATTTATTGGGCAACTTCTTGTTTCTTAATTCTAGCTTCAGCATTAAGAACTCTAATGTTTAAAATTTTAGCTCTTTGGATAATTTCTTGTCTCTTCTTAGCAGAAACAGCATGTGAAATTTCAGCAGCATATTTTCTGTTTTGCATCATAATCATTTCAAGATCAGTTGTATTACGAACTGGGAATTTATAAAGTCCACATGGAAGCATATTTCTTGTGGCTTTAGCACTTCCATATCCAATCTTTGGAAGAAGGTTAGTTCCCTTGAATTTTCTTCTTAATCTATTATCAATACCTCTTGGAACTCTCCATGATGCTTTAACACGAAGGAATCTGTTTGAATCAAATCTCTTGAAATGTCCAGTATATTTCTTAACAATCTTTGGTTTTATGACAGGTCCGACCATCGATAAGAGAGACTAACAAATCAAGCCCTTTTTTCTAGTTTGTTCCATGTTGGGGGTTTTTATTATTATTATTTAATTTTCTTACTATTCTTTTTGCTATCTCTCTTTCTTGTTTAAATTATTTTTATGTTATATATTACAAAAAATATTTACAACAACCCTATTTTTTTTCTATTCATTACTTTTGTGATTGATCAGGATTGAATCATTTCATGTCTGACGATACATCAAAACTTCCTGTCCTTCAAAAAGAACACCCAAACTCACGTAAAGCTAAAAGAAAGGCAAAAGAGGAGCAACGAGATACAAAACTAAAGATGGAAAAAAAATTGCATCGTGTTCTTAAGCAAACTCCTTTAGTTGATATGGTTAAATGGTTTAGGGATGGCATAACAGCTCTTGGAATTAATGAAACAAACATTAGAGTTGTAACTCAAGAAGAATTATTTGTTCTTGCTGTTAATTATTCTTGTAGGAAAGATTTAGAGTATGATGACATAGACGATAAAATTAAAAAAATGCTTCATGCCACGTCTTCAATACAAAACAAAAGAGATCGTATTTTAGAAGAAATATCCAATATGAGAAAAGCTTTGATTGGAGGAGTGGACATTCCGGATTTACTTGATATAGATAATATCAAATTTATTTTAACTGTTCGTGATATTTATGTTACTATTAAACAATCTCTGAAATTAAGAACAGTAAAGTATGCTATGAAAGATACTCTTCCATTGACTACTGGTGTTGAGCTTGCTATTAAGAAATTTGAAAGAAAATTTGATTGATTTGATTTATATAACATTATATTTTTTTTTTTAGAAAAAAGGAACAAATAAGTTCACTCGAGAAATGCAACTACAAATGTCATGTAGTCATGACCAGTTAATGGAATTAATAAGATTACGAAATGCCATTAATTCACGAAAAGAAGAGTGTGCAGATTTAGAAGCTAAGATATCAAATATTTTATCACAAAAATCCGAAGGAACAACCCTTAGTGAAAAGCTTCAAAGATTAGAAGAGTTACAATTGAAAAGAATTGAGTTACAATCCAGAAAACAAACTTTGATGAAACAAAATGAAGACCTTAAAGTATTTATTGAAGGAGAAAGTCAAAAACTTATGAAAAGTGTTGAACTAATGGAAAAAGTCCAAAAAAAAGAAATGAAGGAAGTACTAGAAAATAGTGTTCAAGTACTGAGTATTGCTGAGGAACTGGAAAGACAACACAAAGAATTACAAAACAAAGTAATTCAATTAAAGAAAGAACTTATTAATCAATTAAAAAAAATATATTCTCTAAAACAACGTCCTGACGATAAATTAACACAACACATCACGTCACTAAATGGAGTAGTTATTCCAAATAAAATTGGATCTCAAGAGCTAGAATTAATGAATGAAGTATATGGTGATATTGCTCATATTATTAATTTATTAGCTCGTTATTTCGATGTTTCATTAAAATATCCATTACATCCAAACGCTATGTATTCTTTAATAAGTGTTCGTGGTAAACAACAGCAAACACTCCCTTTGTACAGTAAAACAGTCAACCAACAAGCTTATCGTACTGCATTAACATATCTCAATTATGATATTGATCAATTACTTCTCTATTTTGGAACAGAGCAGTGGGAGGCTGCAGCCCATGCCCAACCTATTGAAAAAGTGTATTCGATTTATCAATGTTGTGATAAATATTTCAATACTGCGGACACAACAGAATGAAAAAACAATTACAGTTTCATTGATTCATTCATTTAAAGAACAATTCATTCTAAATTTTTGTGATAAATAACATTTAAATAAGAAAAAATGAGTAAAATAAAAGAAAAAAAATTTTAAACTAAGAAACCAATAAATTGAATTGTTTTGTCCTAATTCTCTTACTACCCAAAAATTATTTAAATAATTAATGGTCTTTGTTTTCAGTAATTAGGTGAGCATTAGAAGAGTTTTTATAATAACTTGATTGAATAAATAAAAATTTACAAACTTATAATTTAAATCTTTTGGCTGATAGAGAAGTATCATTTAATAACATTACACGAGTTGTCAAGTTACACATCTCTTATTAAACATCTCTATAATATTAATACACAATAAATGAAGAAGAATAATTTAATTATTTTTTAAATTGATTTTTCTTGATTGATAGAATTATACACATTTTATTTTTGGTCAACCTCAAATCATTGATGACCTATTAGTAAACAAAATTAAACAATGACTTTCATTATGATAGTAATAAATTACTTATTAATTTTTTAAGTATACAAATTATTGAGTTAATTTTAATCCTCATAAACTAACAATAAATTAAAATAAATGCACTCAAATATAAATAATCCTAGAAACTTGTATGAAATGATGAAACTAAAATTTTGTTTTAACATTTTGTTTATTTTTTTAAACAAGTTTTTAAAGTTTTTTGAGATCATTTAAGTATTTTTGAGATTGAATTATGAAAAGAAAAAAGTAAGAATCTTGAAAATAATAAAAAAAGGAAATAAAATGATTGCAAGAAAAATAGAATGTCCTTGTAAAAATGTCTCTATGTCTGTTATAAGAAATGAAGAAAATATTAAAAATCCTTTTGACTGTGAAAATGTTAAAGAAATTATTAATGGGACAATTACGAGTAAATATAACTTTTTAGTCCAAACACGTAATAATGAAAATTGGACTATTTTAAAATGCCTTCACTGCAAATGTGATATTTGTGCCAGTGAAAGAGATGATCCCAAAACGATTATTGTTTTTAAGTGTAACGAAAATGCATTAAAAGATGGTAGATATTCACAAACATATGGGGTTATATTGAGACATCACTCCACAGAAGAGGGTTTTGTTGGAGATGAAGAACGTCGTGAAATAGCGAAAATACGTCAAAGAAAGATTGACGAGTTATACAATGAAAAAGAAAGAAAAATTGCTGAGTATGTAAAAAAAATTGAAGAAAGATATGAGTTTGATAAAGAAGTTATTGAAGAAGAAGAAAAAGATATGTTATGTGCATGCTCTGCAGAGGAGACATTTGTTGAACAACAAGAAGAAGAAAGTTACTTTAATTTGGATGTAGAAAATCCATTTGGAGAGGTTCCAATAAAAGAAGATGGAGTTGTTATACGTACTAGTGCAAAACAGTCTATTGACAAAAGAACACCAAGAAGATTAAGTAGTCACGTCATAGATATAAAAAAAACAACAGACAAGGTAGGATTCATTGACTTAATGGATTTAACTCAAAAGAAAGCTGATTCAATTAGAATTTCAAGAAGTCTAACAACTGAAGGTAAAGAGGAAGAAGAAGAAGATTCAAATGATAATTTTCCAAATACATTCCAAGAATATGTTTGTTGTTATTATTTAATTTATTTAATCATTGTATTAAAACTCATTGAAAGAAAATTATATTTATTCTTATAGACATTAACAAGAAAAGAAACGAATGAAGTTCCAATGTCTAGTTCTCATATGAGTTGCAAGAGTTATAAATTATTATTTTAACTTCTATAAAAATTAGTTCATTACTCAAGATTATTTTAACTGTGTATTTCTTTCTTTCATTTTATTTTTTAATTTTAAACCAAAAATTATTCAAAAAATAAAAAACCATAAAAAACATTTTAAAGGTACTTTTAGAAGACATTCCATTTAGTTAACTTTTGGAAGTGGACCTTTTGTTGTAGCTAATTTGAAGTAACATCCATCAGCAATAATCTTTCCATCTTTCTTAAGTTGTTGATATTCTTCTTTAGTGTATTTAGTGAATCCCCATTTGTTAGAAATAACAAGTTTTTGTCTTCCTGCAAATTTGTAACATGCAAGTCTGAATGATTTAATCATTGCTGGGAGATGTTGTTCTTTACATCTTCCTGAAATAAGAACTTGTCCAACTTTAACACGAGCACATGACCCATATGATTTACCCCATGCTCCTCTCATACCAGTTTGAAGTCTATCAGCTCCAGCACATGAAAGCATTTTATTAATTCTAAGGACATGGAATGGATGAATTCTAATTCTAACATGGAACCCATCTTTACCTGCATATTTAAGCATATTCTTATTAATTGAAATACGTGCTGCTTCCATAGCTTCTGATGAAATATTTTCTCTTTCAAGTCCTACAATGTGTACACAACATGGGAAATCATCACATGGTGCACTTCTGTTTCCAATATCAAATAATTTGATTCTTGGATCTGGGACACCACGGCAGTACTTTGATTTTGGGTATGGGTGTCCTCTAACAAGTCTATAACATCTTCCTGGTCTTCTTCCCATTTTATAACAATCTGCCAGGGTTAGTTCATTTTTATAAGATCCTCTAATCGTTACTATCCCGTTTTTTTCCTTCTTCTTTCCGTCTAACTGGTCCTATTCGATGTTGTTTGATGTGTTTTTGTTCTACATTTAGAAATTTTTAAAAATAAAAATAAAAAACATAAATTAAAATATCAATAAAATTCAAAAAACACTTTTTTCTGTGAATCAGATAAAGAGTTTTAATAGAACTCTTTAATCTTATGTCTTCTCTCACTGAAGAGCAAAAGAAGAAGTTTAAAGCTACATTCAAACATTACGATAAAGACAAAGATGGACAAATCACGTTCGAAGAATTAGGTCAAATATTGAGAGGAATGGGAAGAAATACTACAGACGTAGAAATCTATCAAATGCAACAAATCCATGGAAGTGATAAACTTGATGAAGCAACATACTTGGCACTACTCGCTCAAAAACTTCAAGAACCAGATAGTGTTGAAGAAATCCAAAAAGCATTTGATACATTTTTTGGACCAGGGAAAACTACTATTACTGTTGATGAATTTAAAGCAATGATGATGGAATTTGGAGAACGAGTTTCTGAAGATGAAGCTGATGAGTTAGTTAAAGATATAGGATTAAATAAAGAAGGGTGCATTGATGTTAAGAGATTTATTGATCATGTGTTTGAAAGTAAATAATTCATTTGTTGTACTTCTTTATCAACGTTATCTTCATTTTTTGTTTATTTTGTTGTTATAGTATATAATTAAAAAAATACATAAACAAAGAGAAATTATAATTAAAAAGTAAAAAAACTATAATTAATATAGAATGAAAAGTGAACTTTAAACTTATTATTAACAAGGCACAATGACTGGACACAAGGGTTTCTCATACAAATTAAAACTTGGTAAGAAAATTCACCAAAACAGAGGTGTCCCACAATGGTTCAGAATGAAAACTGGAAACACCATTAACTATAACTTCAAGAGAAGACATTGGAACAGAAGAAAGATGGGCATGTAAGCTTCAATTTTAAAATTGAGTACCTTGTTGAATTTTTGGGTTTAATGTGGTTTGTTATCAATGCCACAAAACATTTGGTTTCATTCATTTATTTAGGGTTGTAAAAAAACAAAATTGAGAATAAAAGATGTTATTTGCAGTAAAAAAGAAAATTTAAAAAATTTTAATAACTTTTTTGTTGGAAAGTCATTTAGTTATAATTTAAGTGTATAACTTGATTTAATTAAAATATGGCGAATTCCCTGATATTGAAAATTAAAAAGTTGACAGCACAAGGAATTATTGGTGCGGTGTTAATGATTTTTAATACTGTACTAATAACACTTCACAAAATGTCAGTGAGTTTCCTTATCACTCAACTGTTTATCAGACACGATGCATTTGTACCAAATATCGTTGCACTAACTTTTGCTCCATTGGTGTTATTATTTTATTCGTTTTATAAGTACTTATTTTATGAAGAAACTCCAAAACAATTGTTTCTTTTTTATTTACTCGAAGGAATTATTGAAGGGGGGTCACAAGGGATTGCATTAGTAGTCTTAGTTTTCTTTTATGAAAATACACAACAATATATTACTATGTTATATATTGAATTAGTATCGTTTGTACCATTTATTTGTTATTCAATGCCTAAGTTAAAAAATTGTAAATTAAATGGAATTGTATTATTAATATCATCAATATTTCCAATTGTAACTGCAGTTATAATTAGTGTTCATTATAGATTTTATTGGCAAATTATTACAGTCGATCTTTTGTTTATTATTCCTTATTGGAGGTCATACTTAACAGGGTTGTCTAGTGTTCATATAAAACAAATAGAAAAACATCGTTATTTTACTTCACTTATTAGAGAGTCAACAAAAATTATTGGGTTAATAATGGGTTTTTGTTTTGTTTATTACACTAATCAAATTAATCCAACTGAACATTGGCTGATTAATCAAATTTATTTACTTCCACTGTGTTGCAGTTTGTTAATTCCTTTTATACTTCAATTTACTATTTCTTGGGGAATGAAAGCTGTTCTTCCAATTACAACAACAATATTACCAATGACGGTATCAATTATTATATCTCTTTTATTTTACCTTTCAATATGTCATTGGTATTGGATATCGGAAATTTTTGAGGGGATGTGTATTTATTATGCAGGAGATACTGATTGGTGGTTTGTTGGATGCTTTATTGGAGTAGTTGTTTCATGTTGTTTATTTTGTAAAAGACTCATTGAACAAAAGAAGTATATAAATAAAATAAGAGACGTATGGAGTATTCCTGATATTTGTTGTATTTCATTTTCAAACTCACTATTATTGAATAGAAGAACTGATGACATTATTCAAAACGAAATTAGGGGAAGCGATGAGAACACATTTAAAACAAAAAGAATAGTTATATGTACAACTATGTACCATGAAACAGAAGTTGAGATGACCCAAATAATAGAGTCATTCAAACGACTAGATAACATATCCTCATCTAAAGACCATATCTCATTTTGTATTATATTTGATGATTCCTGTACTGTTGATGGACTAACACTATATTTCAATTTATTTGCTGAACAAATTATAAGACTATTATATCAAGAACGAGTAAAAATAGAATATAAAGTTCAATGGTTTGGTGCAATTGCATTAGGAACTTTTAATAATGGAACTTCATTAACAATATTATTTAAAGACTCTCATTTAATAAGGAAAAATAAAAGATATAGTCAGTTGATGTTATTTAATTATGCTATCAAAACTTATGGCAAAGAAGAGACATTTGTTCTATTTACTGATGGAGATACGTATTTTTCTCCTTCTTCAGTAAGGAAATTATGTCTTGAATTATCATCTAACCCAAGATGTGGTGCAATTTCTGGAAGAGTGTATCCTGATGGAAAGGGGATTTGGGCGGCATTTCAAAAGTTTGAGTATGCAACAAGTCATTGGTTACAAAAACCAGCAGAGGAATTACTAGGGTCTGTTTTATGTTGTCCAGGCTGTTTTACTTTACTTCGTCTTGAAGCGATTTATGATGACAACTTAAGAAATAAAAGAATATTTGATAAATATTCCGAACCGCCTCGAAGTGGTATAGGTATTTTAACTCACAACTTTGGTGAAGATAGGTGGTTGTCATATCTTCTTATTGAAAGAGGATGGGAATTAAAGTATTGTTCTATCACTAAATCTAAATCTTATTGTCCTATTACGACACAAGAATTCTTTAATCAAAGAAGAAGGTGGTTAACTTCTACTTGGGCTAATCTTGTTATGATTATCAAAAATTGGATGAGGATTAAAAGAAATAATAAAAAAATTTCAACTGGATTCATGATATACACCTTTCTCAATTTTATTTCATCTTTCACTACTCCTCCTACTACTTTATTATTGGTTTATGGATTTTTAGTTAATTTAGAAGTTCCATATTCTCAACTTATTGCCTTAGTACTTTCTGTCTTTCCTACATTAATATTTTTAATAATTGAGGTTGTTGTTCATTATCTACCTGCACCATCCTTTGAAATATGGTGTATCAATATTATTAGTGGTATTTATGGAATAGAAATGTTGTTAGTGATTGCTAATTTAATTTATACTTTGATAACTATTCAACAAATATCAATAAGTTTGATCTTCTGTGGAGCCTTAATTATTGTTTATGTAACTACTATTGTTCTTCATTGTGAGTTTAACCGAATTGTTGGAGGAATAATAACATTTTTCCTTATACCAACAACAAATGTCTTATTAATAATATACTCTTTTATGCACATGTCTGATGTGTCATGGGGAACAAGAGAACAACACCATGAAGGTTCTTTGCAAAAGGTTGTTTACGTACAAAACTCAAACATTAATTATATCGATCAAATATCAATATTTATACCAGAACCTCCTAATGAAAAATATAATAAAAAGATGAAAAAAAACTTGAATAAAACTCAGTTTATTACTATCCTTCTCTTCTTCTTCACAAGTGGGTGTTGGATTCTTCTTTCTCTTTTGTTAATGTTTTTAGACTGTCAATACCATTTAAAGATTATGGGAATTTCGTTTTCTTTTATGATTGTACCAACGTGCTTGACTATTCTCTTAGTTGGAATACAGTTTATTTGTATGTTGTTTCACAGAATGGATTCCTTGGCATTCATTCTTTCTCATTCAGAATAATTTTACTTTTCATAAAATGATTTCATTAATTTATTTTTATTATTTTTTTAATAAATTGATAAAGAGATGAGATTATTGATTATTTAGGTATTAATGAATTGTTACCACTATGACCATGATTCATCAGATGATTGTTCATCTTGTGAAGATGGATGTGAGTGTTGTGGAAGCCATGGACATCGCAATGATGTCCCTGAACAGAAAAGAATACCTAATTTATTCTATATTCAAAGAGGAAATGGAACGGAGAAAGGTAATGATGGAAGTAAAGTAATAATTAACTATACAATGAAATTTTCTGGGAATGTTATCGAAGAAAAAAATGGTTATGAGATGATTATTGGAGGAGATTATAATAGTATTATTTGTGAAGGAATGGAATTGATGGCTGAGCATATGCATGAAGGAGATATTTGTACAATGGATTTACTCCCAGAATTAGCATTTGGTGATAGTGGAGATGAAAAACGCCATATCCCCCCTAACGCTCTCATTCAAATGAAAATTGAGTTAGTTCATTTAGACAAATTCCCAACACCATTTACTATAGATAGTGAACAACTTTATCCATTTGCCTTAAAGAAAAAAAAAGAAGGAAATGATTTTATGAAAGAATGCCATTACCAAAGATCTATAAGGGCTTACCAATGTGCATTAGAGTTTCTTGAAGAAGATTATCGTATTCCCGCTGATGTTAGAAAACAAGCTTTTGAACTAAGACATATCATTCATAACAATTTATGTGCAGTTTATATTCATGAAAAGAAATTTAAGTATGTTGTTATTCATGCAAGTATTGTTATTAAAGAAGATAATTGTAATTGGAAAGCTTTAATGAGAAGAGGAACGGCTTATTTAAATATGGATAAATTAGATAAAGCAAGAAAAGATTTAGAGGCTGCTCAAGACTTTGAACCTGATTCAAAAGATATTGCTGTTCAATTAAAAATTTGTAGGCAACGCCAAGCAGCAAATTTAAAACGAGAGAAAGGAATTTATTCAAAAATGTTTTAAAGAATAATATTATTGTAGTTTATTTTTCTAATAAATATAGTTTCAATAAAATAAAAGAACTTGGGTTTTGGGTTATGACATCTCCAAATGAAAAAGGGACAACTGATTAATAATCGATATGAAATTACTCATGAAATTGTTGGAGATGGTCAACACAGTAAAAATTATGTTTCGATTGATTTATTTGAAGGAAATAATGTTATACTCAAAAAGATTCAATCTGAAGAAGAGTGGGACATCTGGAATAATATTCGGAGAATAATGAAACAAAAACCAAATAAAAAAATTCTTCAATTGTTTGACAGTTTTCAATGGAACAATTGTTTTTATGTTGTATCAGAAGAACTTTGTTATAATCTCAGAGAATTATTAGATTCAGATAGTAGTTATGTACAACGTACAATCCCATCATTAATTCATTGTTTTCAATATACGCTAAGGTATTTGGAAGAATTACAAATCATTCATTGTGATATAAAACCAAGTAATATTATGATAAATAACAGTGGTACATATAAATTAATTGATTATGGGAATGCTCTTATTGATTATCATTCTTCTGGAAAAGGGTATGTCCAATCAAGATGGTATCGAGCACCTGAAGTTATTCTAGGGTGTCAATGGACAAATAAAATTGATATTTGGAGTGTTGGGTGTGTATTATTTGAATGTATTATTGGAGATGTATTATTTCCAGCAGACAATGATGTTGATCAACTAATGATGATGAGAGAAACCATTGGATTATTTCCACCATCTCTCCTACTTCGAGCAAGTCAAGATATTACTAATATTTTTACTTTAGATGGCCATTTTATAGAAAAGTATGAAGTGTTGATAGAAGAAAGAAATATCAGGGAGTTACTAGGAAGTTGTGAATATAATGAGATGCTTTGTTTAGTTTTAGAATTAGAACCTGAAAATAGAATGACTCCACTTGAATTTTCTTCAATAACAATAAAATATGTTGATCAGTAATTTGTGTTATTTAATTTTTAGGATAAAAAATAGTAAAAAAATAACTAAAATTTTTTAATAAAAATATGAATAGTTGGGAAGATAGTGAATTGGAATATTCAAGAAATTTGATTAATAAACTTCATGTTCTTCTTAACAGATTAGGAGATCTTCCACAGAAGTTTATTGATAATGTTAGAACAGTTCAAGATGATTTTCTTCAAGAATTTTCTTCAACAACCCAAGTGGTTGTAAATCTTTGTGCTAAAATTCTAATGACTGATATAAGAAAACCACCAACAAGAGATCCTCCATTAGCACTAAAAGAAAAAGGTTCAGAAACTTATTCATCTGATTCTGAAACTATACGAAAGAGCAAAAGAAAAGAAAAAAATATTGTTGATAGTGAACATGATGAAAAAATAAATAAATGTCAAAGAGAATTTTATGAATTAAAGAATGCTCAAGAAGGTATGTGGATTGCTTTACTACTTACCAATAATAAATATACTGAATTACTTCATTCATTTGATAAAACTCAAATTCTTTTATCACAAAAAAATCAAATGTTGAATATGTGTAACTCTTTGCTCAAAGATAATCAAATTTATCAAAATTATCTTACTTCATTTGGTAATAAACAAACTCTTACTATTAACGAGAATATTCCTTTTTGTGGATTACTCACTTCAAATGAAATTATTCAAGTAAAGGAATGGACTCAATGTAAATCATTCAGTCTTCTTTATCATGACGTTACTCTCCCCAAAGAACCACTTTATTCTCAAAACGGTGTTGTCTCATTCATGAGAAATCATCAACAATCAGTATTTGGGTTCTTTACTAAAGCTTCTTCAATTCAACCAACTACTCATTGGTATTTATCAAAAGATTACGATTTTTGTTTTTCTTTACGTTCTTTATTCTCGAAAGAACCATTAATGTTATTGCGTAAAAAAGACGGTAAAGTTGAACAGGGTTCTTCTTCAGAGTATATTCCCCTAACATTGATAGAAATGAGTAATTCATCTGCAAAAGAATTTATTTATCTTTCATTGAATTAAACTTTTCTTATTTCATTTAAATCAGGTTTTTCATTTTATTATTGATAATAACAATTTTGTTATTTCTTTGGAGCTTCATCTTAAAAATCATTACTATGTCATCTGCTGAAGAAAGTATCACACAAACTGCCATCGCTGCTCATGAATTTGTTCAGTTATATTATGCGTTGTTCCAATCAAGAGTTGACGAATTATTAAAAATGTATCATCAACAAGCTGTTAGTAACTGGAATGGTAATTTTTTTAGTGGAATTGAACAAATTAGAAACCATTTAATTTCATTAACTCCAGGAAAATATGACATTGAGACATATGACTCACAACCCATTGGTGATCTTGCACAAGGAGGAAGTCTCCTTTTCATTGTTACTGGTCGAGTTAAATATAATAACAACGAAAATAATTCCAGAGAATTTTATCATCAATTTATTCTCTCAAGATCGCCAGAGAACGTTTGGTTTATTGTCTCAGAAAACTTCAGATTATTAAGATAACAAAATGAATAATGAGAGTAAACGAACGGAATAAGTATAATTTAAAAGGAGTTTTTAAAATGATTAGTTTAGGTTTTATATGTCTTGTTTCTTGTCTTTTTTTAATAAAAAAGAAAAATCTAAAAAAATCTGATCTTCAATCAGTTTATCTTAATGAGTAGAACTGAAACCCCAAGTCTTGAAGATTCTATTGATATAATTAAAATGTTACGTAATCAAAAAATCAAACAACTTAACAAAGGATTTCAATTTAGAGAATTAGATAATGATAAGAAGATTGAACGTATTAAAGAATTAATTCTTATAGCAACAGAAGATCCATCTATAGAAAAAAGAAAAAATAATAAAAAAGGAACAAGAAGAAGTACTCAAGATGGGGAAGATGCAGACATAGAGTCAGTAGTTCAGTCGATTTCCACAGCCATGTATTTTGAAAATAGTCCACCATGTTTGTTAATTTTATGTTAATTAAATTTGAGTTTTTAATTTTACAAGAACAAATATAAGTATTATTTAATATCTAACAAATAATTAATCTATAAGATATTAAAAATGGACAACTAAAACCATTTCAAATTGATGCTTTAAATTGGTTAATCAGAAGACATCATCTTGGGGTAAATTCAATTCTTGCTGATGAGATGGGATTAGGAAAGACATTAGAAAGTATTAGTTTATTAGGATATTTATATCATGTACAAGATTGTCATGGACCACATATTGTTATATCTCCAAAATCTACAATTGATAATTGGAAAAATGAAATTAATAAATGGTTACCATCAATAAAAGTTGCTCTAATGGGAGGTACAAGAGAATCAAGAGAAGATTGTAGAAAAGAGAATTTTGATAAAGATAGATTGAAGGCTGATGTGATTATTTGTAGTTATCAGGTTATTTCAAAAGAAAAATCACTATTAAAGAAACAAAAATTTGTATATTTAATATTAGATGAAGCCCATAGTGCGAAGAATGAAAACACACGTTTCTATAATGATTTAAGTGAAATTAATGCAACACATAAACTATTTCTCACAGGAACACCATTACAAAATACATTACATGAATTATGGTCATTGTTACAATTTTTATTACCAGAAATATTTAATATGAAAGAATTAGATGAAATATTTGAATCAATTGAGTCAGACAAATTTCAAGGATATATTGATTCTATTAGAGATTTTATTAAACCATTTATGTTGAGAAGGTTAAAAACAGATGTTCAAAAAGAATTACCACCTAAAATGGAAATTAAAATTTTTGTACAACTTACCCCATTTCAAAAGGTTTGGTACAGAAAAGTATTAATGGGTGATGTAACTGTTATTATTGGAGATAAAGTTGTTAAATCAAAATTAAATAATACTATGACACAACTAAGAAAAGTTTGTGACCACCCATATCTTATGCCTGGAGCAGAGCCAGAACCATATGTTAATGGAGAACATTTATGTCTATCTTCTGCTAAGATGATTGTAATGGAAAAATTAGTAGAAAAACACTTAAAAAATAATGGAAAGATATTAATATTTTCACAAATGACAAGGATGTTAGATATTATTGATGATTATCTTGTGTTTAAAGAGATTGAACATTATAGAATTGATGGACAAACACAACAAGAAGATCGTGTTGAACAGATTAATGATTTTAATGACCCAAATGGTAAAGTTAGTATTTTTCTATTATCAACAAGAAGTGGGGGGTTAGGTATTAATTTACAAAGTGCTGATACTGTTATATTATATGACTCTGATTGGAATCCACAATCTGATATTCAAGCAATGGATAGAGCTCATAGAATCGGTCAAACTAAACCAGTTACTGTTTATCGTTTAATTTGTGAAGGGACTGCTGAACAACGATTGATTAGAGTTGCAGAAAGAAAGTTAATGTTAAATAGACTTGTAATGCAAAGTGGAAAAACAGCTACAGAACCAGCAATTGGGAAAGAAGAATTATTACAAATTATGCAACAAGAATTAACTGGGTGTTTAAAAGAAGAGAGTGATGATAAGAAATTAAAAGAAAAAAATAAAGACTTAAAGGATATTGATATTGAATCAATTATTCAAAGTGGAAAAGAAAAAACACAAGAATTAAAAAATGAAATTGAAAAAGAAACAGAGACAGCAAAAAAAGGAATGATGAATCTAACTAACTTTGCATTTGGAGTTGAAAAAGTTGATATCAGAGAATTTGAAGGAAAGGTATTTGGGCAAAACGATAATTTAGAAGACTTAGAACGTTATAAAGAAAACATGAAATTAGTTCGTACTGAAACATTAAAACAGCCTCCTACCATTAAATTTAGAGATTTACAATTTCCAAGTAAAGAATTAATTCAACTTTTAGATAAAGAAAATGAAGAATATCAAAGACTAAATGCAACATTTAAAGAAGACCTTACGTTTGCTATATTAAAAGGAGATCCATTAGATCCAATATTACATCCAAAATATCTTAGTGATGAAGATAATCAAAGAAAAGAAAAGTTATTAAAAGAAACATTTTGTGATTGGGATGATAATGATTTTAGAAAATGGAAAACAGCTATGAAGAAATATGGCTATGAAAAATTAGATGAAATTAGTACATATATGGGAAAAGATAAACAAGAAGTTCAACGATATAACAATGTTTTTATTCAAAGATACAATGAGATAAATGAAGGAGAGAAACTATACAACTCATTATTTAAAAGTGAACAGAAAAGAAAGTTGAGAGAAAAAGAACAAGAAGACTTAGCACAAGCTATCAAAGCTAAGCCTGATGATATGACAGTACTAACGCCATACGTTTATTTTGGAAATTCTCAAACTGATCCATTAGTAGATTCAATGATGTTAAGAAAATATGCAGAGTATGGAGAAGATTGGGAAAGAATCTTAAAAGAAATAAAAGAACATCCATTATTTGTGTTTAATATTTATATCAACTCATATACCCCACAAACTGTTAAAGAAAAAATCAGATTTCTAATACATAACGTAGAAAAAACTAAAGAAAAAATGACAAAAGAAAATGATGGAAATACTGTATTAGATAAAATAGAGATTAATGACAATCTTGAGAATAAAAAAATGAGAAAAGATGATGATAATGATTGATAAATTAACTAAGTTTATTTAAAAATCTTATGAATTTATATTTATTCGTAGAAACTGGATAATCAAGGAATATCTAGATTCCGGAATTAATTCTGTTTAAAAAACTTGAAACAAGATACAAAAGAGACAAAAAAAAAGATTTCTTACTTGTCTTGTTATCTCATGACCTACTAAAAGCCTCAAAGATCTAATAAAAATTATTTATAATATGGCCCGAGAGATATTCATTGAAAGATTTAACAAATTATCTAGAACTTCAACATATGAATCAATTACTAATGATATTAATGACTATTTCTTTTCTAAAAAATCAAATTTTATTGAACAACTTATTCCTGCAATTGTTAAAGAAAAATATGATGTCATTAAATACACTAAAATATGTCAATTTATAGATGCTTTTATATTTAAATATAAAACATTTACTATTGCCCATGTAGCTGCTATTGCATTTATTTTACTGGACCCATCTAAAAACCTAAAAGTTAAGAGGAGTGATGCTTCGAAATATTTTACTAAAATATCAAAAGCAAATTCGAAAGAATTAAAGAGATTAGAAAAAGAAACTGGTGTTGATAGTAATGGTTTATATAGTATTGATGAATTTATTTCATTATATGAAAATGTTAATGAAGTTCAATTAGATTCTTCTACAGTTAAACAATGCGTTTTAGATTGGTCATTTAAATCATTATTTGATCAATACGCTAAAGGAAAAAATTATATTAGTGATGGCGATGTATTTGAAGGATTAAAAAATCAATTTAAAGTTAAAGAACATGTGAATGCTTTAAAAGTAGTGATTAAATTAATGGACACGTCTCGTGTACATAAATTTAGATTATATGAATTTAATGAGTTATGTCTTCAAATTGCTTTTGTAGAACAGAAAGTTGGACTTAATATCTTTTCATTAAATGTCATATCATTTAGATTACTTGATACTGAATATAATGGATTTTTAACATTACAAAAATATTCAAGATTTCTTCAAAAATCTGGATTTGATATTAAAAAAGATAGTGTTAAAAAATCTGTTAAAGAGCTTGACAGTAATGGTGATGGTGTTCTTCAAATTGATGAATTTATTCATGTAAGTAATGGACTATGCAAATCTAAAGTACCAGCTTATTTCCTTAATAATTTAAGAGCAAGAAATCAAACTGATTTAAAATATGATAGTGAACAACCCCAAAATATGAGAACCTCAATTCAAATATTAAGAAATGATAATACTAAAAAAGAAAAGAATCGTACTTTGACAAGAACAATAATTACAAGTGATGAATATTCTAAACTATTTGATGACCTATGTCCAACTCATCAAATGGATATCAATAGTCTTAGAAGTGCTTTAATAACTGTTATTGGAGAAACAAACACCAAAGCATTAAGGACTGCTCTACCAGTTATATTTAATGTTGGAAATATTAATTGTGATGGATACTTAGATAAAGAAGAGTTTATTATTTTAATGACTGCGATTGGAAAATGTATGAAAAATAAAGTAATTACTGAAAGAGATATGTATGAAGTATTTTTTCATTGTGTCGATGGAGATCATGATGGTTTAATTAATAATCAAGAAGTCTCATTCTTAGTTCAACAAATAGATGGAGATACACTAACTGAAGAAGAGGCAAATGATTTAGTTAGAACGTATGATGAAACAGGAAAAAAAGAATTAAATTTGGAAGAATATTTATGTTATTTTATGCAATTGGATGAAATTAAATTAGATGACTCAGAAGAAATAAAACAAGAAAAAATGAAACGACAAATTGCTAAAACATTTAGATTAATTGATAAGGATTACTCTAAATCAATAGAATATGATGAAATATTAAATTATGTTATTAACACAGTTGGACAAATATCACAAACTAATAAAATTTGTCTTAGTACAATGTTTTATGTTTGTGATCTTGATGAAAATAGATCATTAGACCCTGATGAATTCTTTCAATTTTATTATTTATTTGAATATTATGTCGATGAAAATGGGGAATTTGATTGTGTTTCTATTTATGTTGAACTCTTTGATATGCTTGATGTTAAGAATGAAAAAAAATTACCACGATGTGTTGTTGATAAATTATTAGAAAAAATTGGTCGTCCTGAATCTATTTCAAATTTCATGATCAAATATGACTTAAACAAAAATGATTTCATTCAAACAAACGAATTTGTCTTAGCTTTCTGTGGTAAATCTCTTGATGATGATATTTAAGTAGAACCTTTTTATTTTAAACAAACATAAAAAGATAACAATGAAGAAAAATTAATTTATTGAATTTCAATTTGTTTGTTTTTTTGACTTTCAACAGATGAACGGTATTCAGATACATATTCATTACTAATTGTAATAGGCTCACTTTGTAATTCTTTTGCATATAAAAAAAGAAATTTATCTAAAGCGATTTTTTTTTGTGCTTTATATTCATCAAATATCTTATTTTCAATTTCAGCTGAGAAATATTGTTAATTCTTAATTCCTTTAAAAAAAATTGAAATAAACAAACTTCCTTGAATAAACTCTTTTTGATATTTAATTGAATCAGCAGGTTGTTTGAATGCTTTTGGTGTATGATAGTATGAACCTTTTACTTGTTGTTTCTTTTGATATGGTGATTCATTTCTTGAAGAATACTTTGTACTTACTTTTCTTTTATTGACAGATTGAAACCCATCTTCATCTTCATCCTCTTTAGGTTTTCTTTTAGATTTGGGTATATAGACATATGGTTTTGACATGAAGTAATTAATACTGAGTTTTTAGTTAATTTTTTCTTTTTTATGATTTTAAACAAGATACTATTTAAAATGAAAAGAAACTAATACTTAAGGCTTAATTTTTTAACAAAGAATTTTTGTAAAAAATGTTTTTCTTATTATTCATATTTTTATTAATCATGGTTGTCCAAGGAAAAATAAAGGGATGCCCTTACGAAGATTCAATCCATTGTTCTAGAATTAAGGCTATATGCAGTGAAAAGAGGATGGGTGACTGTAGAGAAGTTTACTTATCTTGCTTAAAACAGCATCGTTGTCATCAAAAAAATAACTCTGTTTTGGTTGGTGTTAAGAAACAAAAAAAAGTAACTCCAATGTACAAAATAATGTCTTAACTCATAACAACGATGAGCAAAAAACAGTTGAATGCTCCAAACAAAAATTAATTAACCAGTCATATTTAATGATCTCTTCTTCTTTCTCTTGAATTTCTTGGTGGAGATCTTACATCTCTATAATCTCTAGAAGGAGAATAAGAATTGTAACGATCTCTTGGTGAGTCATACCGATGAGGAGATGATATTTTGAGGTATTGGTTGTTCCATAGGCATAACTGGAACAGGAATTCCATATATTTTATCCAAATCCTCTACGTACACATATGAATTATCAAAATTTACAATGATGTTAGGAGGAATTACTTCTGGAGAGATAATGCACTTGCCAATTCTTTCATCATACTCGTCCTTTTTCATCCAATATTCTTTTCCCCAACTAACAATAAAAGGGAGATGACTTCCTGTGTCATATCTGAATAAGAAATGAAACACTGCCATAGCATCTTTTCTCGTGTATAGTGTAACAAAACAATGATGTTTTTGTGCAAATAAAACAATTTTTCTTGGAACACATATATTTTGGAATAATTTAGCTATACCCACTTCATCTATTCCATCTGGTAAATTACCTACGAAAACTACATTACTATATAAATCAATTTTACCATGGTCCATAGGTAATGATGTACGTTGGTCAACTCCTGGTTTTCGTTTTTCGAGAAGTTGTAATGGATGTGGTAAATTATGAAGTGGTTTTTCTTCACAGTAATATCGTTGTGCTTCTACTTCATCGAAAGTCCCATCATCGTTATCTGTATCTTCTTTACTTGGACTATTTATTTGTTGAAATGAGTCTACTTGGTTGGTTGAAGAGTATGATTGTGAATAATTCTTTGTGTTATTTGTTGGATCTCCTGAATAAGGAGATGGTTCAGTTGGTGTTGTAACAGTAGCATATGGGTTGTCGATACCATACGGATTTGACATTGAATATGCACTTGCATAAGGATCGTTTACATCATTAAAACTAACATCTTGAAACAAAGCACTTTCATCAATGCGAGGTTTTTCCTTTTCCATATAGTTTAAAGAATTTTTAAGATTTACTTTCATTTTATATTACCATTGCTAATAGTAATTTTTTTCATTTATTAAAAAAGTAATTTTCAAAAAACCAAAAAGAATGGATTAAATAGGTAATTTATTGGAATTCAAAGAAGGCACTCACAAGATCACCTTTTGTCTTCTTAAGAGCTGCATATGCTTTTTCGTGTGTGGTATTAGCTTGGCCCATAAGAACTTTAACGTCTTCTTCAGCTGGAACATATCCATTATCTTCAACAACTTCATTGGTAACTGGAGCCTCAGTTTCAGCAGCTGGTTCTTCTTTCTTTTCTTCATTATTGGCTTGTTGTTCTTTCATGTTGGCTTGAAGTTGCTCAAGAATACGTTTAGTTTTTTCATCCATATATTCATTTCTTGGTTCACCATATACTACATAATGTTCACTTGATGGAAGCTTATAAACAGCTGGCTGATTAATAACAAATTTGCTTCCTGCTCTTTTAAGTGAAAATTCAACAACATTTGGTACTTCAACAAGTCCAACTTTTTCAAGTGCCTTTCTTGCTTTCTTTTCTCCTTTTGACATCACTCTTTCAGTTGGTATGGTATCTTGAGCCTTATTTTGTTCTTGGCATTCTTCACAATTTTCTTCTTTAACCTCTTCTTTAACCTCTTCTTTAACCTCTTCTTTAGCTTTTGCTTCAGCTTCTTCTTTTGCTTTTGCCTCAGCTTCTTCTTTAGCTTTTGCTTCAGCTTCTTCTTTAGCTTTTGCTTCAGCTTCTTCTTTGGCTTTTGCTTCAGCTTCTTCTTTAGCTTTTGCTTCAGCTTCTTCTTTAGCTTTTGCTTCAGCTTCTTCTTTAGCTTTTGCTTCAGCTTCTTCTTTAGCTTTTGCTTCAGCTTCTTCTTTGGCTTTTGCTTCAGCTTCTTCTTTGGCTTTTGCTTCAGCTTCTTCTTTGGCTTTTGCTTCAGCTTCTTCTTTTGCTTTTGCCTCAGCTTCTTCTTTTGCTTTCTTTTCAGCTTCTTCTTTGGCTTTTGCTTCAGCTTCTTCTTTAGCTTTTGCTTCAGCTTCTTCTTTAGCTTTTGCCTCAGCTTCTTCTTTGGCTTTTGCTTCAGCTTCTTCTTTAGCTTTTGCCTCAGCTTCTTCTTTGGCTTTTGCTTCAGCTTCTTCTTTTGCTTTCTTTTCAGCTTCTTCTTTGGCTTTTGCTTCAGCTTCTTCTTTAGCTTTTGCTTCAGCTTCTTCTTTAGCTTTTGCCTCAGCTTCTTCTTTGGCTTTTGCTTCAGCTTCTTCTTTAGCTTTTGCCTCAGCTTCTTCTTTGGCTTTTGCTTCAGCTTCTTCTTTTGCTTTCTTTTCAGCTTCTTCTTTGATTCTGGCCTCCTCTAAAACTTTTTTTTCATTTTCTTCTTGTGCTTTTTTTGCTTCAGCCTCTTCTTTGGCTTTTGCCTCAGCTGCTTTTCTAGGAGAAGCACGGACCTCAGCTACAATCCTAGCATCTTCTTGCTTTTTTCTGTCGTTATTTTCGTAACGATCAATAAGAGATGCAATTTTACCGCCTCTGTTTAATCTAGACATAGAATGTGAAATTTTCAGTTACTTCTTTGAGAATAAAACCCAATTCTTTTTAAGAATCTTCTTGATGGAAGTCATTCTTCGTTTATGGTAAAACCCTTTTCCTTTCAAGAATAGAATTATTTTAGTTTTTTATAATTAAATTATCATTGGAGATAATTTAGATCATATGCGATTATTTTTTTTTGTTCTAGATAAACGCCAATTTACTTATTAAATATTTATCTCTTTTCAAAGTTACTTATTTTTTCACTATAACACAGCGAATTATTGTATTAATTATATCATCCTTAAAAGATGCTAAATTAAGATTATCCGGTATAGAGAATATATAAATTCGTTACTATAGTAGTTCTGTCTTAAAGTTGTAGTTTTGTTTGAAAGAAGTTCTTTGTATTTCTCCTTCATTAAATGAACAAAATTTTTAATCACTAAATCTTAATTTAAATAACGTAAATTAATTGTTTTTGTTTTATAAAACGTTTATTTATTTTTGTTGTTTAAAAAGAAGTGAAAAAAAGAAAAAGAATATTCAAACTTTAAATTTGTTAAAAGTAATAATTAAGGAATGAGTTACATGTTGAACCCAACAATTATCCTTCTTAAAGAAGGGACAGACACTAGCCAAGGAAAAGGACAAATTATTAGCAATATTAATGCATGTCAAGCCATTGCTAATATTGTTAAAACCACTCTTGGACCACGAGGAATGGATAAGTTATTTATTGAAAATGGAAAGATTCTTGTAACTAATGATGGGGCAACAGTAATGAAAAATTTAGATATTGTTCATCCAGCAGCTAAAGCTTTAGTTGATATAGCAATGGCACAAGATTCAGAAGTTGGAGATGGAACTACTACAGTAGTAGTTCTTGCAGGAGAATTACTTGCACAAGCTAAAAAGTTAATTGAAGACGGAATTCATCCACAAGTTATTATTAAGGGATATCGTATGGCATCAAATAAAGCTAGAGAAGTAGTTAATACAATGAAAATTGATTTTGATAAAAAAGATTTAATGGAGTATTTAAAAAATTGTGCTAAAACATCAATGCAAAGTAAATTAATTGCTATGCAAAGAGAACATTTCACTAATATTGTTGTTCAAAGTGTTATGCATTTAGATGATAAATTAGATATTGATATGATTGGAATTAAAAAAGAACAAGGTGGGTCATTAGAAGATTCATTTACATTAGAAGGAGTTGCTTTTAGAATGTTTTAGTTATGCTGGATTTGAACAACAACCAAAACTGTTTTATAAACCAAAGATATTGTGTTTAAATATTGAATTAGAATTAAAAAAAGAAAAAGATAATGCAGAAGTACGTATTGATGACCCAACTCAATATCAAAAAATAGTTGATGCAGAATGGTCTATTCTTTATGAGAAATTAGAAAATATAGTTAAATCTGGAGCAAATATTGTTTTGTCTAAATTACCTATTGGTGATCTTGCTACTCAATATTTTGCTGATAGAAAAATCTTTTGTGCTGGTAGAGTTGAAGAAGATGATATGAAAAGAGTTTGTCTTGCTACAGGAGCTCAAGTACAAACTACTGTTTCAGAGTTAAATGACAGCGTTTTGGGTACTTGTGGAAAATTTGAAGAACAACAAATTGGTAAAGAAAGATATAATTTATTTAGTGGATGTACTGCTGCAAAAAGTTCTACCATAATTTTGAGAGGAGGAGGAGAACATTTTATTGACGAAGCTGAACGATCATTACATGACGCTATTATGATTGTCAGAAGAGCTTTGAAACATAAACAAATGGTTACAGGAGGAGGAGCTGTTGAAATGGAAATTTCAAGACAATTAAAGGAATATGCAATGACTATTGAAGGTAAAATCCAATATGTCATTCTTGGATATGCCAAAGCATTCGAAGGTATCCCAAGACAATTAGCTGATAATGCTGGATTTGATCCAACAAATATCCTTAATTTATTAAGAAAGAAACATGCAGAAGGAGGACTATGGTATGGTGTTAATGTTAATGAAGAGGGTATTCTTGATATGATGGAAGCTCAAGTTTGGGAACCTGCTTTAATAAAACTAAATGCTATTGCTGCTGCTACTGAAGCTGCTTCATTAATTATTTCAATTGATGAAACTATTAAAGCCCCAGAACACACTCAAGGATAAAAATTGAATTGAACGAATGTTTTCAATATTTGTTATCATTTATTTTCCTTTATTTTTAATTCTTCTTTAATATAATATTTCTTGTATTGCAATGCTCAGACACTAATAAGAAATTTAAAAATTTTCAGCTTAATAATGATAAGCAACATTATATATTTAATTGTATGTTGTTATAAGTATTAATTTTCAGTTACTTTTTTCTTGAATAGACTTTAATAACAAGACATTCTTTTAAAGATTAGTGAAGATTAAAAGAGAGATGAGAGAAAGATATAAAAATGAAAAGATGAATAAGGGTAGTGTGAGGGAAGCGAGAATGTAAGAAGGGATTTAATTTATTCAAGAAAATAAAATAAAGAAAGAGAAGAAGAAATAAAATAAAGTACAAAGTTTAATTAGAGGAGGTTAATGCTTTTAAAATTTGATCACAATCTGAATTAGTTAATTTATTAAAGTCGATTTCGAAATCATTTTCATCTGAAGTTGTGATTTTATTATTATTGAGTAAAAGAAGGATATTGTGGAGTTGTTTTGGGGAAGCGGATTGAAATTTAGTAAGAAGATCTGATTTTTTCGATGCTAAGAATTGGTATTGGTCAAGAAAGAAAGGGTCAATTAATTTATTGATATCACAGTGTTTAATTAAGTCAGGAGAATGGGATAGAAGATATGTGTCAAACTCTTTTCGAAGATTTTCATCACTAAAACGATCATAACCATTAAGTTTTATTGAGTGTTGGATTTGTTTAATTGTACCAAAAAACATGCACATAAATTTTTGTGTTTTTTCATCAAGTTGTTGAAACATGAGTTGTGTTTGAGGATTTGCTTTAAGAAGAATAACATGTTTATAAAGTTGAAATCTGTCTTCGTAAGGAATAGAGATATTTCTGTAGAATTGAGAAAAAGCAGTACTAAGTGTGACCATCTGATCAATTGGTGATTTACACCTCATTATTCTTTCATAATTTCCTTCCATAAACTTTG